CAATTCACAAATTGGAACAATGGACAAAACACTCCGCGTTATCATTTTCACCTGAAAAGACAAAATATATTATATTCTCAAGAAGACAGATAATCCAACTCAGAGTACCACTAACACTTCATAACATATCCTTAGAGCAAACACAAGAAATCAAATTTCTGGGACTCGTATTCGATCATCGATTGACCTGGAAAAAACACATAGAGTACCTAGTTACAAAATGTGAAAAAAGAATGACAGTATTAAAATATTTATACAACAGACACTGGGGAGCTGAAGGCAAATCCTTGCTCTACCTATACCGATCACTGATAAGATCTAAAATAGACTATGGTAGCATAATCTACGCCTCAGCTAGCCGTTCAACTCTAAAACCTTTGGATAGCATACACCACAGAGCACTTCGCTTAGTACTTGGAGCATTTAGAACAACACCAGTCCAAAGCTTATATTGTGAAGCCGGCGAACTGTCGCTGAATGACAGAAGGGAGGTACTAAGCTTAACATATGCCACTAAAATAGCATCAAATCCAAGTATCCCTGGTCACAAGTACATAGGACAGATTAATAGAGGAATCCAGCTGGGCGTTTCCAATGCAACACAGAAAAAACCGTTTTAGAAATCTCTGACTTCTTGAGAAAATTAAATATCGCACAAATTCCTGCAACTACCATCCGACCTAGTGCAGACATTGCTCCTTGGACAATGCAGAGGCCAAGCATCAACAAAGCTCTCACAAGAATGAGTAAAACAGACACGCCAGCACCAGTAATAGTACAAAATTTCCAGGAAATAGTCAAGAAATGCCAACACCATGAGAAAATATATACAGATGCATCAAAACTTGACAATAGAGTAGGAACAGCTGTTGTGACATCCACTACTACCATTAAAATGAAATTACCAGACGAAGCAACAATTCTAACAGGAGAATTATATGGAATATTAGAAGCCATGAAACACGTACAGAATCAGAACATCCAACGAAGCCTCATAATAACTGATTCTCTAAGCTCGCTTCAGCTTATTGAGCAGATATATACGAAAAACCACCTGGTGCACCAAATTAAGCAGATTCTCCACTCATTACAAGCAGACAACCATGATGTTGTATTCTTATGGGCTCCTTCTCACGTTGGTATCCAAGGCAACGAAAAAGCAGACCATCAAGCTAAACTAGCAGCAAACTTGGATCACACATCAACCATAAACATCCCAGATACAGATATAAAATCTCACCTTAAACAAAGAGCTATTCAAACCTGGAATACCAACTGGCTGAACAACGCATCAAAGCTGTTTGAACTGAAACCCAGATTCGGACCATGGACAACACACACAACAAACAGAAAACACCAAACAATCATCACACGACTCCGTTTAGGTCACACCCGGATCACCCATGGACATCTCATCACGCAGGAACCAGAACCCATGTGCGAAGTGTGTGAAACCCCTCTCAGTGTCAAACACATATTAGTGCAGTGCCCTTTGTTAGAGCACTACAGAGTGGAATGTAACCTCACATCATTAACCATGTGTGATATTTTAGCACCAAATAACAACATAAGCAATCTATTACGTTTTCTACAGCAAACTAATGTATTATATAAAATATAGCATGTAAGCCGTACCGCTAATGGCCTTTAGGTCGAAGCGGGTAATTAAATAAAAAAAAAAAAAAAACAGAAATTGCAACTTTGTTAGACTTATCGCGGTACAGTGTGAGAAATATTGTTAGAAGATATAACGTAACTGGTTCAGTTAATATTAAGCCACGATATGTGAAAAAAAGTAATATCACAAATGCCAACCGAAGCGCATTAAGAAGAATAATCGTGAAAAACATTATTAAGTGCTCTGTGGAGTGACGCTGTTGGAAGGAGAATTTCGAGGTCCACAACACTCATAGAGAGGCCCACAAACTGGGATTTAGCACTTGCAAGGTAAGTTTTCTCATAAAAAAAAGTGAAGTAAAAACCCTAAAGTTGCACAACTTGTTTATAGGCCAAAGAAAAGCCACTATTAACTCCACTGCAAAAGAAAAATCGGCTTAGATGGGCTAAAGAACATGGACAATGGACACCTCAACAATGGTGTGCAAAACAATGGGAGTGATGAGGCCCGATTCGAAGTTTGTGTTGGTAACAGTCGCAGCAGAGTTATTCGCAAAAAAATGAAGCATTCCATGTTGACTGCCTGAAGAGAAAAGTGAAAATTTCCAGCATCCATTATGGTCTGGGGCAATATGTCATCAAAAGGAGTAGGAAAACTTCATTTTATTGATGGAAATGTGGATACAAACAAATATTTGGCAATTTTAGAAGAATCGCTTTTACAAGTGATGGAAGAATGTTCGACATCCGGCCAAGATTTTGTGTTTCAGCAATATGGTGCAGCGTGCCATACCTCAAAAAAAGGCTATAAAATGGATGGAAGAAAATAATGTACCACTTTTGAAATTGGTTTCTAGCAGTCCAGATCTGTCACCTATTGAAACTTTGTGGCACGAGATGAAAAAGGTTCTACGACAACATCCTGCTCGTACAATCACCGAACTGAGACAAAAGCTTCAAGAAATATGGGATTTTTTTACAACAAATTTTTGCCAAAAATTGGTTAACACTAATGCCCCAAAGAATTTCAGCCGTAATAAAAAATAAAGCTGATGTTACCCAATGGTAATCTTTCAATTGTTGCTTTGTTAACTTCGCGCATTTATTCGCACATTGTTTATTTGTTCAGATGTTCTATTATAGGTCTAAGTGATTTCAAATATGTATTTTTTACGACTAGAGTGTATCTAAAATGCTTTTGAGAAAATAAATTGTTTTAGAAGTAAATTGTTTCGTCATGTTTAGTTTATAAAGGCATATTTTGGTTCAAATCTTGAAGTGGGCCAACTGAAGTGGGAAGGGGCTCGTACCGGACCAAATGTAATACCTTTTACTGTCTTTTGCGTTTTTCTGATTACCGCCATTTTCCAAATTAGGTTTCTCTGACTTTTTATCAATTTTTGATACACTCACTTTCTGTACCTTCCTCGAGTTTGTAGAACTGTCAGAACACTTTAAAATGTTGTTTTGTTAGTGATCCATGTAACAATTTTTTCCTACCTCTTAGCTACGATACCTTCAATTTTTAATTTATCATTGTCCACCGACGACTTTTCTAGTTCTTCTTCGACATTGTTTGACTTCCTAGTTTATTATATCTCCCCCGTACTTCCTTCATATAGGAGTGCAGCATAAAAGTCTACATCTTCAGACATTACTTTTTTGAATCGTCGCAAAGGATCCCATCTCTTTTTTGTTATCTTAAGCCTTGTCTCGTAGAGTTGTTTATCAATTAGCTTTTGGCGTTGCGGTAAGACTTATAAGGATAGTTGATTTCCGATTTGTAGTAGATTTGGCCAGTGCTAGAATATCTTAGGCATCTCAGATCGTTCGCCTTTAAATAGTTAAATAGTCTTATCTTCTGGACGTATGGAATTGTACCATTTACAGTTATACTTCGAAATTCAAAAAATACGAATGATTTAGGTACTCTTCGTCCAAAGGGAATGATCGCATCTCTAACTAGGTTTATGTAATCGGTAGGCAAATCTATGTCTCCCTCTAAGGCGCCTTTCAATGACACGATGAGTCAAGTCACATTCCATTTGAATCTGACCCTTCTCCAGATACTTCTGATCAATCACTATATTATACCTTGTGGCCAATAGAGACAAAACATTGGACAATCTGCTATTTTTGTTTTGCTATCCGCAACTATCTGACCACAACACAATCGGTTTGGCTAGAATATTCAAAGCAGACTCTTCTTTATAGTCGCAGTGATGCTGTAGCTTATTTGCTAGATGTTACTTTATAGAGTGTGCCAAGTGAATCTATCTGAATTATTCTCATGTCGCAGTACCGAACCACTCCCTCAAAGCTAACTCACAGACGTTATTAATGATGAAGCGTAAGCCAGCAAACTCTTTCGAATAGTTCGGTAACGTTCGATCCTGCGACCCAAACACCACCTTGAGTATGTTTTAGAATGTCATTTCAATAAACTGGTGATCACTGACAATGAATACAACCTGCTGAAGCGTATCCAATATAGCGCTAGAGCCAGCAGCTCAGTGTAATAAACGCAGCCTATGAGACAGTGAAAGACAGAGTGAAGCCATGAGTACGCTGTATGGTAGTATGGGTGACAAAAATCCGACTTAAGTGTTAAAGAACAGCAGAAATAAACATCTAGAAGACCCATTAGCATTGGGATTATTGTACATTAATTCTAATTTATCGTATACCAACAGAACAGTTACAAGATCCAATAGGCTGAAACCAACCTTCACTTTTTAATCAAACTTCCGAGCAATAAACTAATAGAAATATCGTTTTTCATTTGAAATCCATCAAAATCTCGATTTCGACATTTTATGGGATACGTCGTATTAGAACTAAGCGATTGATATGTAGGCTTGTTGAATGTTGATAAGATTCAATGATGAACCTTCCTCAATCAAATAGGATCACAAACACAGATTAATTAAATACAATCGTGATCTAGTCGTCAAAGCCAATAATCTTTCTTGCTCAATATGAGTGGTTTTAATTTTTTTATAAAAATCTACATTGTGCAGTTTGGTTAAAAGGAACTGTGTCATTGATGTCAGCATAGTCTTCGAAACATTTTGTTTTAGTATAAACGGTGCGACCTTTCGTACTATGCATTATTAATAAACAACCGTCTGTATGGTTTTAGAAGTAAGTAAAAAAAGTTAACCATCTCGAATTTCAAGTTATTACAAGACATATTCTATGTTTCCTATATAGTATCTACTAAACGTTCTTTCTGGATTAGACGACACAGTTTACTGCTTTATCAAATTTATTTTTTTGTAACTGAATAGCTATATAACTCCTCTGTTTGTAAGGTTAAATAATATTATTTAATCGTTTAATTAATACAGAATAATATGATATGAATTATTTTCTTCATCTAGGTTGTAGTGAAAGGCCTGGAATTAGTAGATGTTGCCATATCGAAATATATGTCACCTAATATGGCATTATTGATAGATAAAGTCCACGACTCAGTAATGGGTCTGCTAGGGCCCATGTTGTACGCAAAATTACACGATGTGCACTGGGAAGTCAGAGATAGCGCTTTAGAAGTCATCTGTACCATCACGCGGATATCCAACAAAAGTAAGTTCTGGCATCAGGTGGCAGTATGTGTCGCTGTGTCTAGGTGTCAAGAATAATATTTTTGTGATTACTTTACATCTACAAAGATTCATTTTTTAGAGTTCCCATCTTATAGAAAAGTAATTCAGGAAGCTGAATTCCCGTCAATGGTTATAAGACTTGCAAAAAAAGATTCGGAAGCTTTCGTCCGAGCTAGCGCACTGAAATGCTTGAAAGAGATGATTCAAGTTGAAGATTTTTGGTGGGACTTCCAGAACAACTATAATATTTTTGTAAGTAAATGCTACATATTCTGCATGTTATTTTTAATATTAGAAATTTTTGGCTCTGCTTGCCACGAACAATTCAAGGCTGAACTATCGCAAATATTTCATTTCTTATTTTAAAATGAAAGATTAGGATGTAACTTGTACGAAAATATCATTTTTTCTTTAAGAAACCCTCTGCTTGCTATTTTATAGAACTTCAACGTTGCATTTTGGGTGGTAATACTGTGGTATAGAATATAGAATACTGCTTTATAAGCTGGTTTTTTCTTGTTTGCACAAAAGAATGCTCAACATTATATGACTATAATATAAGCTTTATTTTACTGTGATACTGTTCATCGCAATAATGCAATTTTGCATTATTTTAATGATGAAAATAGAACATTGTTGAGTAGTAATTTCTTTTATTTCAGATAAATATTTCCATCACTATACCACCACCACTATCATAATTTCTGTATCTAGTTGAGATATTGCCAAATCATGGATAGTAATATACCTTGATTTGGCTTGTCAAATTCTTATATACTAGCGCAAAAATGTGCAATCGGCACAGGATTGCCATGAAAATGCTGTGGCCAGTAGGTTTTACTGTACTAAATCTACCTTGTATCCTACGATAGCTTTAGCTAAGTACACTTTTTTTAAGAATGCTGAATACTTCGGTTGTTGTGCTTCCTATATTATAGTTATAATCTATTTATTTTTTGTATGTGTTTACCTGAAGAATTATTTAAAGTGAAGCTGAAGTCACAAAATCTACCTAACTAAATGTGATATTTATGAGAGATTACTGAAAAAATACTATTGATAGTCACTAAATAATGAAAACATAACAAAGAAGAACATGCAAGTTTTTTGCTGATTTGATGAAATGGTCGTTGATCTTTATTTAACCTTAATGTTGGACGATGATGTATTGGGTGGACCTGGCGACGTGGTCCAAATTGACGAATCGAAGTTGGTTATTTTTATATGCAATGACCGCTGGTGCTTTTTGTATTTTCATGTCACGCGAGCCGCTGGTGCATTTTCCACTGCTTAGATACGTAATGTTCAAAGTTGCATCTAATTTTCAGTAAATATTGGGATAAATTCTTATAAAAAAGTCATTTACAATAAATTAAGACTTTTATTGTACAACCTCATTTTTTATTACGTATTTTTCCCAAAAATTACAACTTGGCAACAATGGACTTCATTTATCTTATCCGTCAAGAAATGAACGTTAGAAAATGGCCATTGAGAATTATTTGTACTTTCAAATATTTCTTATAACCGCAAGAACTTTGATCTCATTGAAAATACGCGAAACAAAAAAAATTTAATTAAAAAATCTCAACACAACATCTCTACACAGTTTACCAAGTAAATATCATCATTTACTGTATGTATTCTGAACTGTTATTTTGGCTAATTACACGGCTACTTTTGAACCTTTTTTTTCCGAAAAATAACGACTTTTTATAGTTTCACAACTATTTTTCTTAAAAAATGATCATTTCTGCTGATTCCTTCAATTTTTTCCGAAAAAAAAAAACAACAATTTCGGCCTTTATGCGCTAAGGTATGACCTTAAAGAACATATTTTTACAGTTTCACATCTATTTTCCTTAGTACTATTCAGTGTATGTTATATTCTTATAATTTAGAGCATCCGTTTGTGCAAAAAGCAAAAAACCAGCGTACAAAACAATTCTATTCTTGAATATTACCACCAAAAATGCAACTTTGAAGTTCTATAAAATAGCACGTAGAGGGTTCCTTGGAGAAAAAATGATATCTTCGTAAAAGTTACATCCTAGTCTTTCATTTTAAAATAAGGAATGAAATATTTGCGATAAGTGCTAAAGTATATAGTCTTATCCACTCAACATGAAATTTGTAATGCTATTGCAGGAGGAGATCTTGAATATCCTTGTATATGAGCCAGAAGGTATTGTTAGAACTGAAGCTGCAACAGTTGTGGCAACCATTTACGAATACCAAGATGTACCTGAAAGTCATTTAGGCAACATGTACGACGTTGCCTCTCATGCTGCTACTGCAGACCTCCACTGGGAGGTCAAAGCAAAAGCACTCATGTTTTGGAGTAAGGTGTGTGTAAACATATTAAAAGTTCTAAATTATGGTTGTATGTAATTGAAATGAGGACATTACCTATTTAATTTTTTTTTCTAAAAACTGTGAATTCATTTTGCTTTTCGGTTTGAAAAGTTTATTTATGACGTCAAGGATGTTTGTACTATATGCCAAATGCAAATCTTGAAAGTTTAGGCTCTCATTTCTAGTACATTTAAACCCTATTTCACGAGTATCCATCGCGTTTTGACGTCTACCGAGATGCACACCTGATCAGCAAGTTACATATTTGTATTAGTATGTAACGTTAGCAACAATGAGTGGTGTAAATCTAGTAAAACTTGCTTGTAGTGTATTTTTTGTATGTAAATCAACTTTCCTAAATAAAAGAGTTGTTAGCAAGTACAAAATGAATCTGTAGCGTACAAAAACCAAAACAAAATACGGCTATGTCTACCTGGCGTTGACGGATCGGTCAGAATCATGTGTCATTTGTCGATATAGGGAATTCCGAAATATTACTAGATAATCAGCTGTTATTCTTCCGTAATGGATTCTCGTGAAAAAGGAAGGGCAGCGTCCGTAGACAAACTGATTTATTGAAATATATGTCAGCTCCCAGGCGTGGAGTATGTTTGATGGCGTTGCCAAAATCGTCGCCACGTCAGGGAATGGTCACACGTTTCAACAGGTTTGTTTGGCTACGAATGCTGACGACGACGCCATTGCGTTCCGATAGGGAGGGCCCTAATGTCTTCCTTGTGTACTTCTCTTTGTAGGTCATTGAGAAACATCTAACACATCAAGGAATGATCGATGGAACTTTTCCTGAGGTGACATTTTCTAAGGAAAACAGGAAAATAGTGACCTTGAATGATGCTGAGGTATTTGATAATTTATCGCGATGGATTAACTACGTTAAAACATTCAAAATAAGTTTATGTTACCAATTATGAAATGACTCACTGTGATATAAGAGGCCGAATTCACTTGTAATATATTTATATTTTTCTCTTTCGATAGGTGAAAAAACGCTTAATAAAAGTGCTCGAACAGTTAAGCGCAACAGGTTGTCTAGCAGTATTCGCAGCCGCTTTACAGGACGACAGCGATTTGGAAGTAGCGAAAACCGCTTTGGTTCTCATTAAGGATTTCGTGGCTATGTTGAAAAAATACAAAGTTACCGAACAAGACTTAGTTTTAAGCACACCAGTTAGCCCGTTGGATAGTTTTATCACATCCCCTTTTCCGTCCGCATCGTCCGTTAGGTAAGTTATCTAAAAGAAGTTAGTGACATTAAAAATTTCAGGGTGATTGAAAAAGTATTGGTAGTACTGTGTTATAGAATATTGCTCGGACAATTTATATAATACATAAACAGAATGTAAATGTATGAAATAACGATTAATACAGGGTGCGTCATCTATTACTTTTTTTTCTATTTGAAAAATCAACACGCTTTTTACGAGGTGAAATCGAATTTTTTCATTGACAAATGAAGGTTGATTTATGCCATTTACGAATGAAAAATAACATCAGTCATGTGACCACCGCGGCTTCTTCGTTTACAGGCCAACATCCGAACAAAATTTTCAATGACATTTCAAAGAATAATCGGGTCTATGGCCGCAATTTCAGTCCGAATATGGCGCTGTAGGTCTTGAATTGTCCGGGGACCATTCGCATACACTTTTCTTTTCAAAAATCTCCAAAGAAAATAGTTAAAAGGTGTTAAATCGCACGATCTCGGGGGGCAACTGACATCTGAATTTCGTGAAATTATGCGGTTTTGGAATTTCGTGTGCAATAAGGCGATTGTTTGGCGAGATGTGTGAGCCATTGCTTCGTTTTGATGAAACCAAAGATCGTCGGCAACAATACGATCCAATTGTGGCCACAAAAGTCTGTTAACATGCCGAGATAACGTTACCTGTTGATGGTAATGGCTTTTTCTTCGGCATCTTCAAAGAAGAATGGTCCCACGATGCCACCAGCCCATAATCCGCACAAAACAGTCACTTTTTCAGGATGGAGAGGCTGGTCATGATATTGGTGTGGATTTTCAGCCCCCCAGAATCTTCAAATTTGCTTATTTACGTACCCATTGAGGTGAAAATGAGCCTCATCAGAAAAGAGCATTTTGGCCGAAAATCCGAATTCTCTGTCCAGCATCCAATTAATAAAAACACGCCGCTGTTGATGGTCTGCCGGCTTCAATTCTCATGTTAGTTGGATTTTGTATGGATGGAGGTGTAAATCAATGTGTAAAATCCGGGGTAAAGTGGTCTCACTAATTCCCAATTGTTGCGAACGGTGCCTAGTCGAGGTGGTTGGATCTTCTCGCACACTTTCACTCTCTGCGGCTATGTTTTCACGATACGAGCTGGAAAAGCATATTGGTATGGTCTACGATCTTCAGGTGAACCAGTTTCCTCAAAACGATTAACAATACAATGAATTCCAGGCTCTGTAGGGCGTCCATGTCGGCCAAAACTAGTGCGAAGTTTGCGAAAAATATTTTTTATATTTCGACCGTTTTCGTAATAAGTTTGTATAACCAAAATGCGTTGTTGTGTTTTAAACGAATCCATAACTATAAATGGCAGACCTTTGACAGTTCATTTATGCATACCACACGATTTTTGACTCACATAGTAACACATAAATTTATAGGTAAAAAAAAAGTAATAATAAGACGTGTATAAAAATAAATGTTTATCGGAACAGCGTACAAATATATGCTATTTTTTAAAGCTGTATTGTTTCTGCGTAAAGTGCCTCTCGGTGTTTTTCGCGGTGTGCTTAAAAAAGTGCCATTTTGGTCCCAATCTTTTAATAATGATAAACAGATTGCTGTAATGGGTAGTAAAATAATCTTTATTTCGAAAATTTTGCGTCTCAACAAAAATCTTCAAGAGATACTTTTCAAGTAAATTCAATCTGGCTTTGAAATATTGATACTTCTTGTTAATGTGAACACAAGTATTTCATAAATTTGATAATACATTTGAATTTAGCTTACCCAATTTATCTTGACTGGTTCTGACAAAAATGTCAAACACCATCAGAATATATAATGCTCAGCTTTACTGTTAATTACGTTTATCATATTTCTCATACAAACTGATCTGATCATGACATCTTTTAAGTTTTCAATCTATAAGTAGAACATCATAAGCAGTGGAGTTTCTCGAAACTGGTGAACGCAACTGGTGAAAGTGTTTGAGGTTATATCAGCCATTGTACTGCTCTAAATGCGCAGTGCACACTTTTAGTATGATATAAACCAAATTCAAGTGAATAACCAAATGAAAATGGTATTTAGCTTTTTGGGTTGGTATTTACCAATCCTTTCAAGCGAGTGTGGTTATCAGTTATAACATCCGTGACGTCATTAATCAGCTGTTATATGTCACAGTTATCACCGTAATATTGTGGTATTTACCCAACTCCGGTGTAGTTTTATATTTCTGGTTATTATTTGAAATGTGAAAAGTTAGAATTTTGGCGGGAATTGGATATTTTTGTTGTACTTCAGATTCATTTTTGGGAAACTTGATACAGGCTGACTTCAGTTTTAGCATGAAGTAGAGAGCACCTTATTAGTTATACTCTGTTGTTGGGGACACTTCTAATCTAGTTCCTATGCTTAATAAAGTATCCTGTGTAGCACTATACCAAAAGAACATTAAAATATGGCCATATAAACTCACTGGATACGGTCCACCTGTATACGGTTTTGCTAATATCTTGTTCGTCGCTTTTTCCTATTATTTTTGCTAAATCAATGTTTTCTTTGACATGCGGAAAAGTTTAAAGAATTAAAAGTTGTCATAGCTACAAAGCCATGTTTTCACCATTAAAATTTCGGGCGTCATCTTTTGTTTTCACGACAAACTTGTTTAAAAATATGAGAGATAAAGATTTCTCCCATTAATATTATGAAAGTTTTCTTTTTTAAACTTTCCATATCATATCACTGTTTTAGACTAAAAGGCATCGATTATTAATAATAAAATTAATCAGAAATTATATACGCACTTCTCTAAAATAAACAACTTTCAACAAAACCGCGGTTAAAACCAACGCGTTCAAGCGATTCGAGTAACTGACGTCATCGACTTGTCTGTCATCTCGATCCACGTTATAACCGCGGTAAATAACACAGAAAGTTAGGTTATTCGCTTGAATTTGATTATTATTTAGAACAGGTTCTCAAAAAGGTAACACTAAATTTGTTCATACAAAATTAGGTATTAAACACTGACTGACACTATTCTTAATTTTGTATGAAATTTATCGTACTTTTAGCACAAAATTTCGTATCGTGACAGACGGTCTTAAGGTGAACATTATCCCACAAATTTCTGATGCATCGCTATTATTTATAGCTTAAGTGAAGCCTTACTTCACTCAGTGATAACTCTTAGCAATTGAGTGCTCAATCCTTACGACTATCACCAAGCAGGCGCCAGGAGCGGCTGCCCATATTTTGAAAATTCAGGCGTTAGAAGACAGCGCTGTTTCAGCTGCATTTGAAAGCGGCTGACGCCCCATCCAGCCCAACTGTTTTAGGATTTTTGCTGGTTCAACCGTTCAGCGCATAGTAAGGCGCATGCATATATCGAGTTGGCAAGTTTGAAAGTTGTAAAATTAGGTTAGGTTAATACCCTTTTATCGTCAAACGTTTTAGTGGGAAATTGGATTTAGGATGTATCACCAAAAAAAAAGGTCAATATATCAAAACACTGTCAAAAGCTACAGCCGCCTAATGTCTCCTTACCGAGACTCTTCAATATAATTTTCTTTGAACGGAAATTGGAATGTTTTTATTACTACTCAGCGAATTAATGCGATCCTACTTGGCAACATAGATGAAATTTGTATGCTAACGCCCAAATACATAAGGTTGGGCACCTTTCTGGAGAATTCGTAATAATCACTGAACACTGATGTTCTGTCTTCAATCAGCGACATGAAATTGCGTATATCGAATCCTAGCACTATCGACACTGTTTTATGATAAAAGCATACATTATGAACATTGATAAACAGATGAATGTTGTTAAAAGGCTACATTTCTATTGAACTACTGCGAGACATGGATATGTGATACTTTCTTTTCCTTCAGATCCTTAGATTCCCAATATGGAACAATGTCTCCGTCTTCAGATGTGTTCCAAATGGATCTCGTTCAAGCCTCCACTCCGATCAACGACACCATCTTGGAGTCTATTTTAGACTCCGAGGATATTGGATTGCTAGATTCCTTACCCCACTCAAGTCAGGTGACAGAGACGGTGAATTTAAGAACGAAGCAAGTGATGCCGAACAGCGTGTTTATAAATTTTATCTACGGTGATCTTGATGGTAGACTCAAGGAGAGAAGTCGATGGTTGAAACAAATTGGTAGTTTTGATTCGCTTCTGGATGATATTCTGAAGGATTATCAAGTTGAAGGTGTCAACTCCATGGATTGCTATTAATATTATTTTGTTAAACATGTATGTTTGTCAAGGAGTGAAGAGGTTGGTTCGGCATTTCAAGTGTACATATGTTTCATCAGGAAACAAATACCTACATTTTCAATTTTGCCTAAAAATACTCGATCTAATTTTGACTTCGCACTCTTTCACAATTAGGATTAGGAATGAGCACTGTAAGGAAAACAAGCAGTATTCTCCAGCGAAAAGACAGAAACCTTTAAGTAATGATGTAAAATTTTGTGTACGATATTGAGCTTCTCCGTAAATAATTATTTATGATATACAGATAGCTTTTAACGTTTGTTGTAAATCATTGTCACGGATTCTGTTTGTTAAATAAACTTTATACATTTTGTACAAGTTGTTTTTAATTTCAACTAAAGTGCCAATAATTTTTGAAAAATCTCACAGGCAGGGTGACACTACGATCTTTGAAATCGTGTTTGTAATTTCAAAAAACATCTTTCATTTTTTCCTGCAGATTCGTATGTGCTTAGCAGCAGCAGTTAATCATGTCTGCAAATATGACCTCATCGACAATCTCTTGAGATCGATCATCATTTGATCAGTGCTACAAGACAATATGGGCTGACCTATCAATTTAAGTGCTTGTGGCCCCTCGTACAATTTAATTTTCCTAAAAATGCTTGCTCGAGTTTTACAGAATTTTCGAATGTGTAAGGGACAAACTATTTCTTGAAAACGTATCAAAAGAGATTCTTTACAAGAATATGGGTCGCGTCAGAAAAATGAAAGACTCCGCATCTATATTAGAGAAAAAATGGAAGTCGAAAATACAATAATGGACGATATAACAGAGAGGCAGTTAAAATGGTATGGACACCTGCAACGAATGAACGAAGAAAGGATACCATTAAGGGTTTGGAAATGGACATCAGCACAAAGAAATAAACGAGGAAGACCACGAAGGAAATGGATTTCAAACATCCATACCGCAATGGAAAGTAGAGGACTACATGAAGGAGACTGGAACGATAGGATACGATGGCGTATGGGTTGCGAGAAGCGACCTTAGGTTGCAGAAACACGCCATATATATATATATATATATATATATATATCTATTTTTTATTAGTGAAAATTATGAATATTTTATTGCTAACAGAATGCAGCTAGGCTATTTTGTCTACTGTAAAATACAAACCAAACAAATGTTGGAAAACCTGAAACAAAAAATGTAACGACAACAAATGTTTTTTGATTTTTATTCAGGCGGTAATGAATTTTGAACCTTCGGTGAAACACAATAAGTCAATGGAAAGTAAATAAAATGATGCATTATTTCCTTAGATATCGTATATACCCCAGTGAGTGCTTATGCTATTAAGAAGATACTGTAGTTTTATGGCAGTGGCACAGAAGTATTTTATTAGTATTCAAGACATTTTTAAAATAAAGCGACCCTCTATAATTTTAATTTTACGACATTGGCTATTTTTAATAATTATTTATTCTCAGATGTTCAAGATATACAGGGTGTTCCTTAATGATATGCGAATATTTATGTAATGTAATGTTTCCTTACAAAAATTCGGGATGTTGAAGTTTTAGGTAAAAAAATGGAAATTAATTAATATTTTCAGAACCGCTTTAGATATTTCACTGATATTTAGTACGTAGTGAAAGTTAATAAAGTTGCATATTTTTCAATGCAAAAATAATTTTTAGCTTTAACAGTACGGGCATTGACTTCGATATTTTTTAAGAAAAAGATGGTACGCCAACAGTTTTTTGCTAAAAAAAAATTATTTTTGAATTCCCCGTTCAATTTAAAACAAATGATCTCTCTTGAATTGTTTTCCTTCGATGCGCCATTTTTGCGTAAAAAAATTAAAACCGCATGTCTAAAGATGGGTTTGATTTTCTCTCTCTTAGAACGTGTTTCTCCTCACATTAGGTGGTTATGCCTGGCTACCGATTGTCGTGTCCACGCCCGAAAATCAAACATGTTTGATGTCGGTCGTGGGCAATCGTGAAGCTGTCGCTGTCCCGATGACGTCAGAGGCAAGTTCACGACACCTCGTTTAGGCACAGGCAATTCCACGCAAGCAAGACTCACGCTAGCGTGCCACGTCTCGTGAGAAGACATTTCTCACATGTTCTGATGTAACCGTTCGTGCCTGAATTCGCATTGGCGAAATGCGATTGTCAACGATTAGTGGTTTTCCCAGATAATCGTTGATTTGCCAAGGTATGCCTAATGAGGTAAGAGAAATTTCTTTATGTTTGATAGCATATAATTGTCAAACATATGAATCTTAAACAATACATGCGAAATATGGAAGTAACTTCTCGGACAAAATTCAAATAACGTGAAATTCAGCAAATACTACGGAAACAGTTTAAACATAAAACGATGATGATGATGAGCAAGTTATGTTGGTATGTATTGTATAGTTGTGATAATAAATATTCTTGAAACACAAAAAGTTAATCATCTGGTCAGTCAGGAGATGTAGAAGTATCGTCACTACTTGAGCTTGAATTGTAGGAATCATCACTGTCAGAATCGTCGTTGATAGCGAGGTTGATGATTACTGGCTCTATTGCTTTTTCTATATAGTGATCTGGTTTCCAAAACTTCTCTTCTTCTTTAATCACATGATAGATACATTTCTGCCACGGATCAGCTGTCACAGCACCGATTGCATCTTCCAACAGAATACGAACGTCAGACATTTTTAATGTCGTATTTTTACGAGCCACCTCATTTTTTAATCTGAGCCCATGTCAGTTCTATTGGATTCAACTCGCAATGATACGGTGGAAGTCTGAATACCATGAATCCCATCTCCCTAGCGATTTCATCAACAGCTAGTTTGACGAATCGGGGTTTGTCTTCACGCGCGATTTGCAGCAGTTGTGCCTTCAGCATCGTATCACTGCACGTTATGTTTTTAGATACCAGCCAATTATAAATATCAGCTTTTCGCCAATTTGAAGTAGGAAGGATTTCTATACGTCTACTGTGGTACGACGCATTGTCAGTGACGATAACCGAATTTGGTTCGAGCTTGGATAATATAGATTTGAACCAAGATTAAAAAACTTCGGCATTCATGTCCTCGTGGTAGTCACCAGTTTTTCTGGATTCAAATATATTCAACCCTCCATTCACAAAGCCAGATGCACAACATATGTGTGATTGTCAATCGGCGACCTTTGCCTGAGGGACATTTCATACCTATACTCAATCCATCACGATGGGCTTGTCTATGACTTGTCATATTTAAATCTTGCCAAAACGTATAAACAGTATGCCCTTCATTCAGCCGCGTTTCATCCAAGTAGTAAATTTGCTGTCTCCCGATTACGCGAATACTACGTATGGTTTTAAAGTATTCCCTATGCCACATAACGACGTCATCTTTCTCTATCAATGCACTGTTTCTTTTTCCTTTCGATTATCTAATGTTAATTTCGCGCAAAGTTCTCAACAGAATGCGACGAGATATATTGGGAAGTCTTTCGTCACCATCCAAGTCACGTGGGAGCTTTTTTATGGTGGGAATTCCATTTTTCAAATAAAAAGAGTGCACTTTCCGACGAATTTCATTTTTCACATCATCGTCTAGGACAACTTTCTTACGTCCTCGTTTTTTTATCGGATTTACCTCCTGTTTCTTTGCTTTCAGGATTCTATAAATAGTCCTGACTGATACCTTGGGCATATCGCTACAATCTCTCACTGTTTCGTGGATTTTTTTAATCAGTAAATCGCGAATGAAGTGCATTGTAAACATTTTTCACGATGTTCCTTTCACCAGGGCATAAAACATGCCTCTGGTTCGTACTACACATTGCATTTCGTTTCATTTTTGAAATAGTAGATATGTGCAATGCCTGCCCTAACCAAGCTTTCGTATCCGCGATCCCTACTTAACAACTTAACAGTATGTGCTCCGCACCTGACTAGCTGGAACCTGAATGCAATAAAATTGCTGCGTATCTTTTGAGTATAGCGCGACGCCGCCTACGACGTTGTCAAGCCTATGCTCCTTTCTGATTTATCGGATTCTTAACTTTTTCAGACCGAGGCGGAATCTGCCGCAAAATTTTTGATAGACGTAAATAATATACTGAAAAGTCAAGGTCACCTTCCCGATACTGTAAATAGGTCATTGCCATCGTAGTTACCCGATTTTTATGAGTATCTATTTGAAAATTCAGAATTTGGAGAAAATCTAACAAATGACAGATTTTCACATATGACATCCATATTCAAACATTTTTTGCTACTGACGTTTAAAATACGTATTTCCAGCAAGTTGGTTCGCAAAAATTCAGTTCTGGGAATCTATGGATTTGATTTCCGAAATTACAATTTACGAATAGCGGTGGAGCTTCAGACCTGATCAAAAACAAAGTAGCCGCAGCTAATATATTTTCGATGAGGAAGCATAATAAACTGTTATCAAGGGAATATCTGAATATAATTCGATTTGGCAACATCGTATCCTTCATTTGCTTGGACTGCCCCATGTTGTCAAATCCAGTGTTTTTCAATCAAGTTTAAGAGAAATCCCTCGTAGCGTGGATAGGCATGGTATAAGCCAGAAGACAGACCTGTTGAAAATTGAGGTTTTCCCAGGGGATGGAAATATCCGCATCGACTGAGTATCATAAAGCATACCTTATCCAATGATACGTACATCGCAAATCCTGACTTCTGGCTACTGATCTTACCGCAGGAAGGATTTGACTTTGACTACTTGAGATTGAATATTTTGCTTATATATCTTATTTTAAATAGGAGATCAGAAGAAAATTGTTCAACATTTGAATGTTCATTCAAAAATTCAATATGTAGACTTTCAGTGGATTTCTTCGATGAGCGCGTGACAACATCGCTTACAGTTCTCTGTTCTCTGCTGCCTTCCAATTTGGAACCGAAGTATAGTAACCACACTCTCAACCATATTATTTTTGAAGGGGAATTAAAATCTTCACACGTTCGTGAGTACCTCTCACAAAAATGCTGGCGTCGTCTGCTAAGTCATTGACAAATCCTGAATTTTTAAGGGTGATATCTATTTTTACTCAAAATATATGGAGTGTGGATTTGGCTACTCCCAACATTTTTCTCAATTTGTCTAGTTGATAACGTAACAGAAAACGGTCTTACTTGGCTGCCTTCTGGGAAATTTATCAAAATACATTTCTGCAGTACTTTGTAGCACAAAATGTAGCACGTGAGCACGTTGAACTTTATTCAGAGCTAAAATGATCGCCTGGCATTATTTTTTTGGTATTTCCTAAAATAAAGTAAGAAAAAATAAAAACAACTTGGCCAAATTTTAGTTTTTCCAAAAAATCTCAGTAAGCCATGACATTTTTACAAGTCTCTCAACTGCTGGTAAATACACACCAAAGAACACAGCTTTTCTAATGTAAACTGAATCGTATCTCTCACAGGTATTGAGATCCCCATGCATACGGTCCTTATCTTGGACACTGTATATTAAATTTTGCTCACGGACGATTTCTTCACACGAGGGGTCGATCAGACATCGGCAAAATTTTCCAGATGGGGCCGAATCTAAAACCCCAGTTATTTTACACTAAATCACGCTGAACATTCTCAATTTTATTGAATAGTTTGCGATACGGTCTATTTGTTGCACTTTGGAGGGAGTGGATATTCTCAAAAAACACATTCATGAAATACGTACCAGATTTATTTTTATAAAAATATATATCACAGTCTAACTACATGAGTTCTCTCTACTACGGTAAAAATAAATACTATGTATCTAAAATTTGCTTCTATCATAATAAATATAAAAGGTAAAATTACAATAGGTAAGCATGGAACTGAATGTATTTCTCGTAGCTCATATCAAAATAATTTAGGCGTGCTAAACAAAAATGAAACATTGGCAGTATATGTCTCATTAAAAAACTACATTACTACATTTATTGTTTTGCAATGAACATAGTTGTAGAAAATGAATGTACTTTATTCTACTTGTTAATACATACACTAAACGAAATATTTGTAATTTTTTAGACTGTCAGCTTACTTCTCTGCTTTTGTATGAAAAATAACAATTTATTTTACTGATGTTACTGCGACAATTCAAGTGATGTCTGGTAATTCGGTTATACTTACAGTACACTGTTATTGTTTGTAATCTTTGAATAAAACTATGTCACTGCTTTGTAAAAATACTGATTAACAGTTATTGTGGCACCAAAATATAACTCTAAAGCAACGAATATTAAAGGTAGATGTTAAAACTACGTTTGGCTTAAAATTAATGTTGGATATTACTCATGAGCTAATCAGTGTTGATACTACAAGAGTATCATCAAGTTAAAATCATATTAAGGATGTGGTGCTTATTTTAATAAACTGTGGAATTGAAATATTTGCAAGCAAAACAATATCACTGGAATTTCTTTTCGTAAGTACCAGAAATACTGATTTACATAATGCTCAAATATCAATCTATATTTACGTCTACCCACTATGCTTGGCATCCTTCTGGCATAATGACGAGGGGCCTATGCAAAACTTGACAACTCATAAAAGTGATCTACTTTTTGTAATGTTCCAAATGTCATTTTCTGTAATTTTTTTCGAAAATGCGAAAGCATACATATTATACCAACATATGAGGTTGTGGCACTAGAAGAATGAATATTTTCAATTTCATTGACAGACTGACATAGTAAGAAATCTTAGCTTTTTTGTTCAACTCAACTGATTTTTTATTTGTTAAGCATGCGTTGTGCCAAATGTTTACTCATGCGTACACTTGAACGTGCTTAAAATGGGTTAATTTGGAGACCAAATTAAAATGTATCCTTACTTTTTACTGAACTAAGCATAGAATTTTACCATATGTACACGTTAAGTCAGATCTCTGAAATAAACTCAAATACCAGCTTTAAGCTTTTAAACTTTCCATTTGTTTTTTCACATAAGAACGATTTTTTAGCAGGATGTCGATCTCGTCTTCATTGTAGAAAGCGATGAAATCTTTAGGAGAAACTCCTGCAAATACCGAGCTGACTGATGGTTTCAGGTTGTAGAAAAACAGTGGCTGGTTTCTGGCAGTGAAATCCTGAAAAAGAATATTGAAATTACAGTATTTTTAGGTCCGCAGATTGTGTCATACTGTATTATATAATAATAAGACTCGTTGATCATAGAATTTCTAACATAGTTGTAGCTTTGTAATGTATTAATTCTAATAGATGTTCTGTTGACAATGCTTGCTATGACTATAATTACCCCAAACTCAAAATAATGCTGCTGATGCTTTGACTCATTTCATACCTCTGCTACTGATAAAGTAAATTAAATAAAACTGTAATTGTATTCATTTATTTTATGTCCTAACTCTGAAAGTAATACATCTTTTTTATACGCTCAAGAACATACAAAGATATTTCAAATGTTATGGTATCCCTGGTTAGGACTTGCAAGGAAAAATACACAGCAGGTAGGCTTAAATTTAGGTTCTCAAAATGTATCCCATCGACTGTGTGATCGAGGTAAGTTTTGGCAAATACAAGTGCCTACAAACATTTTGAATCCTGATTATTTTGTAAACTCATGAATTAATAAAATATTTGAAGTTGTTCAATAATTTTTGTAAATGTAAATTTATACGAGACAAATAATAATAATAATAATAATAATAATCGTCTTTATTTAAACTGTACTTCATACAGAAAACCAAGAGTTGCATATGGTGGCGAAGTTTAGCAACATGCTACTCTTACACTTATACCACCCATGCAAAAAACAAGTTGTTGAGTAGCAGATATCAAACAAAACATACACATATACATACACATGTACATACATACATATATACATACATATGTATGTACATACATACATACTATACACACATTACATACGTACATGTTGCACCAAGGTTTGCTACATGTACACAAGGGATGTGAAGAATCATTTAACAATATATCTATAGCAATCTAATTAAGACTATGGACCCAAGTAAATATGAGATTTGACAGCTTTCTTGAAGCAATTTAAGGACATGGTTTTGAATTCAGGACTCAAGGCATTGTATAACACTGAAGCCCTGTACGTGAAAGAACGCTGGAATAAAGTTGTGGAGTGAATAGGTGTAGTTATCAAATCTGGAAATCTAATATGTCTATGATGAATATTACGCCTAAAGATCAGATTTTCTCTTAGTATATAGGTTTTGACATAAGTATTAGTTTATGAATAAAAACAAGGTAATGATATTTGACAATGTTTTTTGTTATCATCCAGTTTAATTCAATAAGACTACCAGAAACATGGTCAAAGCGCCTTAAACCACAGATGAACCTAGCACAATTGTTTTGCACAATTTGAATCCGATTTCTAGTAACAACATTGAGACACGGATAATATAAAATATCACAGTAGTTGAAAATCGGCATAACCAAAGATGAACACAGTTTTTTCCTTAGCTTATAATTGAAAATTGCTTTATTGGCATATAGTGAGCTCAGTCTCAAGTAGGTTTTCTTCAAAAGATTTTTAACATGACTGGTGAATCTAAGTTTGAAATCGATTACCACGCCAAGAATTTTAACCTCGCCAACCGGGTACAGTCTTTGAGATCCAATTTTAATATGCTAAGTGACATATAAATCCGAACACCCAGTTTAAATGGTTTTATTTTAATAAAAGTTGGTGAATGTATTTATCTTACTGTAAATAACAAGTGAAAAAATTTTCAGCCTTATCAGTTGGACATTCCAGTTTTTATACTGCTTTTTTTTAATTCACTAACGCTCTAAAAATGAATATTTCAGCCGCAGTAAAGAATCAACGTTGGCGGATTTTGGTTCTTGAAATCCTTTACGATCGGTTACGATGCCTAGAGTTCGGAGACCTGTACGATTTCGCCAACTTAGTGAGTTTGATAGGGGCCGTATAGTGGGACTCCGGGAAGCTGGACTTTCTTTTCGGGCAATTGCAGTTAGAGTGCAAAGAAGTGTAGACACTGTGGTTAGGTGTTGTCAGGCATGGCTTCGAGAAGGCCGTACGCAAAGAGCAAGGGGCACTGGACGCCGCCGTAGAACAACAGACCGTGAAGATCGCCGCCTAAGATTATTGGCCTTAAGGGACCGTTTCTCCACTACCAGGTCCATTGTAAATGAATGGTTTGCAGAACTCGGAATACCTATTGGCATGCGAAGTGTTTGCCGACGAATGAGAAGTTTTGGCTTGTTTTCATACCGGCCACACTGGGTCCTCCCTTTAACTCGAGAACACCGACGTAATCGCCTTGAGTGGTGCGGACAACGGTCACTCTGGGATCAGGAATGGAACAGTATTGTCTTCAGTGACGAGTCTCGATTTTGTTTAGGCATGCACGATGGTCGTACCAGGGTTAGAAGGCGACGTGGTGAAAGGAGGAACCCACAGTTTTTTGTTGAAAGACATGTTCATCACACTGTTGGAGTTATGGTTTGGGGTGCTATAGCTTATGGTTCCAGGTCACCTTTAATCTTCATCAGAGGTAACATGAACGCGCAGCGTTATATCCACGAAGTTCTAGAACCCAATCTTGACACCCTGGCAGATCGAACCTTCCAACAAGATAATGCTCGACCACATTTTGCAAGAGTCACAATAGACTTCTTTCAACATAATGATGTCACATTGTTACCATGGCCACCAAGATCTCCCGACTTATCCCCAATTGAGCACGTGTGGGATATGATGGGTAGGAGATTGGTGCTTGCCTGGAATGAGATACCACAGGACATTGACCACCTGATCAGAAGCATGCCTAGGCGCGTTGGAGAATGCGTAGCACATCAGGGTGCATCCACACATTATTAAAGGTCAAATGGCTTTAAAGAAGTGCAATCATTTTGAAATTTTCATCATTTACTTATTATGCTTCATTAAGTACTTATACAAAATTTTATTAAAATAAAACCATTTAAACTGGATGTTCGGATTTATATGTCACTTAGTATAGCTAATCGACTTTTAATTTCTTCCCTCCTACGATCCGAACAAAAAAATAACAGGCTGGATTTACCAGGATTTATTGACAGGTTGTGGTTATTCGAGAAGTCATACACTTTTTGAATATCATGGTTTATTGATGTCTGTGCCATTTCCATATCATCAGTATCAAAATAATGGACCAGTTGAGTATCATCCGCAAAAGACTGGAGTTCACAAAAACTCACAGCCTTAGGCAGATCAGCAATATATATCAAAAACAACAAGGGACTCAAAACAGACCCCTTTATTGTTTTCAATTGATACACACTGCGATCGATTTGATATATAATTTCGAAAAAAGTTCGATGCAATTGGATCTATGCCATAATACTTCAATTTTGCTATTAACAACTCATGATTTATTTTGTTAAATGCCTTGGAATAATCGATTGACATCACTGCTACGCCCATTTTTTTATCAAGTGCTCTAATAATATTACCCACTAAGTTTAAGAGGGAAGTAGTAGTACTGAAAGGTTTCCTAAAAGCAGACTGATCAGATGGGATGATATGTTCCTCTGCATAATGCATTAGTTGTATGTATGTATGTTGTGCCTTTTCAACTACCTTCGATAAACAAGGCAATAGGCTTATAGGCCTTAGATCAGCAAACTCATCTGGATTTGATTTTTTTGGAACTGGTACCACAATTGCTCGCTTCCACGTTTCAGAGAAATAACCTCTTTCAGGGCAACTATTAACAAGGTGGGTGATGTAGATGAGAGTAACAGGCAGACTGAGCTTAATCATAGACAAGCTCAACCCATCAGTACCTTTTGCATCGGACTTAAAACTAGAAATTATTTCAGCTACTTCATGAGGCTCTAGAAGCCTGAAAGAAAATTTATTAATATGGGGAACATTTTCGTTATAATACCTTAAAACGTGATCAGGAGCATTTGTGGAATCAAAAACTGATATGAAATAATTATTTTCAAGGAACGAGTCTGCAAGATGGTTTGGAATACGTGGCTTATCAGATGTTTGTGCTTTCATATTTTTCAATTCATACCACATTTTTTTCTGATCACGCCCTTTTTCCAAGTGAGCAAGATACGCCATTTTTTCATGTCTAATGCACGATAGTGCAAGGTTTCTAAGTTCCCTAAAAACCTGCAATCTTGCTGGACTTCTGTCTATCTTGTATAAATAATATGCTCTCGTTTTTTGCTTCGGAAGCTGTCTCAACGGATATAACAACAACGGCGCTTTCGGCTTACTCACGCGTACCGTCCTTATAATAGAGTGACGATTGAAGATGTCAATTAACTTGCTACTGAAAAATTGAACTTTATCATCAATATTCCTCATATAACACATTTCAATAAAATTTACTCTAGCCAGGTCATCAATGAAATATTGCTCATCAAAGTGTGAGAAATCTCTGAAGGTGATCATTTTTTGTTCATGTTTCACACGGGATATGTTTAAGATACACCAAACAATTTTATGATCGGACAACAAATTGGCATCTAAAGTAAACCAGTTAGTGACAGTAATTGGGGTATTAATAAAAATAGGGTCCAGAAGAGTTGCTGTACTATTAGTTACTCTAGTGGGAGCATCAATAATTTGCTTGAAACCCTACATATCCAAACATTGTTGTAAGGTATTATCGGCAAATAAATTTACATTTAAATCACCAAGGATAATAATATTTTTAAAATTACTCAGTACATTAGGCATGTCTAAGGCATTAGTACAATCAACTAGCCTTTGTGAAGGGGGACGATACAATATACCTACAGCAAAATCATGCTGATCAATCCTTAATTTTACCCATAGCTGCTCTAAAAACGGAACTGTGTTTAGCGTGACGTCATCATCAATAATCTCAGCACGTATGTCTTGTCTAATATAAACACCACAACCACCACCAAGAGACAACCTGTCCTTGCGAAAAAAGTTAAAATTTCTGATGTTAACTACATCCATTGTGATATCAGGGCTTAACCATGTTTCCGTTAGAGCAAGAATGTCAAAATCATCCTCATTCATCATGTCCGTAAATGCGTCAAAGCTTGACATCAGAGATCTTAGATTTAGATCTAGATATTTTGCACTTCTTCGTAATACTAACAGGTTCCATATGGATTCAGGAGTATTAACAAAAATAATAAAAAGTTAAAAATTAAGGAAATATATGTACAAAAGAAGAGTCGTTCAACTAGAGTTGCTAATCAAAGTTAATTCTATTTTTCAAATTGCGCACATAATTTATATAAGCCGGACAATGACAATCATTTGCAGCATTATTAACTTGGACGTGTGACTTAGACTTAGAACCATAACTTACACAATTTATACATTTCACCTGGTCACTTGCGACCTCACACTGATTTGCCATATGATCTCTTGAGCATTTGATGCATGCAGAGGTAGACGATTTGCATTGCTTAGCAATATGTCCGAACTTACAGCATCTGAAGCACTGGGTTATCCGCAGATGATCAACAATAGGACACTTTCTCCAACCCAAAAAGACATAGCCTCGTGCTAGAAGCTTCTTGCGTAAATCAGGGGATACTTCCAGAACTATTTGACGAGTTCTTTCAATTTTGGTGATAACTTTTAAATCCGCATGATCATTCATGTCATTCAATCCCACGATGTTCTCAATTAACATCTTGTTATCCTTGATATCATCAGAGAAATTAATATTTTTTACTAGCAGACGGGGGTTGTATTTTCTCAACTCGTTGGCAGTCAAACGGCCATTTAGTTGACCATTGACAGCATTTTGTAGTTTTGCCACATCGTCATCTCCCTTGCAGTACACAGCAACCCCTTCTTTAATTTTCTTCGTGCCGCTAATGCATATATTTAAACGAGAAGGAATAATCGTTTTTGACAAGACTTGTAGCACATCATCTCTATTATTCCTATCAGCTGATTTCACTAGTAAAACAGACGATTCTACATTTTTCTCATTCTTTACATTTTTCTGTAATACCTGACTATACGTGTTCGTGCTAGCAATATTTTTTACTGGAGCAATAGCACTTTTTGCCTCACTGAGCTCTTTTTGTAACGTATCGGATTTGAATTTATGTAACTCCAAGGAAGACTCGAGTTCGCTAATTAATTTAGCCTGGATATCTTTCTCTCTATTAAGACATTCGATTTCTTTTTGCAGTATCAACATATGCGAATTACTGTCACTATTAACATCCAGCTGCGATTTAGTGACGCTAGAGTTTCCTGCTTGTTTGCAGTTATCACAAAACCAGATCAGATTATCAAACTCACACAGATACTTGCAGATTAGATCCTTCAACCCAACACACACAGGATGGAATGATTTCACACACAGCTTGCACTTTATTACTTTGCTGTTAACAATGAAATTATCAGCACATATCGCACATACGTCCACATCGTCTGCGATCTCGACGTGGAATCGAATCCCATCATACAAATATAATTACATATGTATATCCAGCTAAAGAATCCAGCTTTTCCGAAACAACATATATCAGCCATTATGCAAGGGTTAGAGACAGCAATATTGAGTTAGGGTTGAAATTAGCATCAGTCGATCAGAATGATTTTTTCCCTAACGGAACAATCCTAAGTAATTATAATGTTTGTTCTCACCTGTGTCAATGTTTCTATAACCGTAGCAGCTGTGTAATCTGCTCCATAGATGTGTGAGCAGTCAATTACCACTGGGATTCCTTGCCTGATGCTGTGCTTCGTCACCAGATTTCGCACGTAGTCTACCGAAGGAAAGATGAGACATCTATCAGGAGTTAGCATCAAGTATTCTGTTCCACATCGACTCTGAAAATTACACATTTTCTCATCAGGTTTTTATATCTTAATGATTGTTTCTTATTGGAAAATCTTTGTATCTCTTATGAAATCTGGCGTCATTGGCGTCAGAAAATTAAGTTTGGAATGAAACTGGGGAAATATGTTTGACCATAGATTGGCGGTCCTATAAATGAGGAACGGAGAATGGCTACACATTTCAGGAAAAGTCCATAGATTCAATCCTGCGTGATCAATGTTTTTATTGTGACGAATAGTTCTGTTGGCGCCATCTGTTGAGCGAGTCTCCTAATCGCCAGAGCTCAATGGCCGATCTCTGCTTTTACGCGAACCACGACGCTTGGCGGCGTCTGTGAGGACCGTGACAGTGCATCGCCTTCTAGATCGACGCGAAGTGACCTCCAATATTCTAGATGTCGCTTTGTGGTCCACCCGGCCTTTCTCGAAGCAGCAATTAGGACTATATATAACTGCGCGGCCGGGAGATGGAAGCAGAGTACTGAATACGATAGAGTAGCAGAGCGGAGTGGAGTTATAGTACAGTCAATGGCGACATAAGAATTAGTCAAACATAAATAGTGGTGTATATAAGTGTTTTATCATGTTAAATAAATCAGTGCATTTCTTTTTGTGGAATCCACACCCAAAAGAACCCAGGAAATCGCTACATTATTTTGAAAAAGATCCAAATTATATGGTGCGTCATTGGAGGATGGTGCATTATTGTGTTGATTAATATGATAATCCATGCATGTTCTCCGGTAGACTCTAAAGAGTGATTTTAAAGGGAACATGTTCCTTTTTTACAAATATCGATTAACTCCTCACATTTTCCCCATAAACATGTACTCCGAAACAAAAAATGAAAGGTACATGAGTTTTGTTTTATCGGAAATTGTGAGTAGGTATTTTTGCTCAACCACTTGGAAGTATCAACAAAAATGGCTTACCCTCAATTTCTCAACCGTTATCTTCGGTCTAGCAGCATGATAAAGTATGAAGAGCAGATTAATTCCCACTCCAACTAAAATTCCAACTTCTAGAGCCAGTACCAGGCAAGCTATGAAGGTCGTAAAACCAAGGATCAAATCACTCTCTGAAAAATAAGAATACTAGTCGTAAAATTGAATGCAAAATAGTATGGACATGTGGGAATTCGGCAGAAAATTCGTGCAAAATGAAAGAAATCTGAGGCTAGTAGAGACATACTTTAATAGTCATTTTTGATGGATTGTTCCAAATTTCAGCTAACAAGTTCTTTTTATGATTCGTGATCTCTATCTACATCTTGAAAATCCATCTGACAAATTTCGGTCTCTCGGTCGTCAATTGGCCTGTCCACTTCTCTACCCTCAAACTTCGTTTGGTACATCTTACAGTCCTATTGTTTTTTGGAGAGGCCAAAATTGTTTAAAGTTCCCAAACTTCACCCACCGTTTTTCAGGTTTCCAATCAGGGCGTAGTTAAAAAATAGAGGGGATAAAATTTTAGAGTTTGGAGGCGCGGCCTTGGAGGGGAGACAGGGGAGCATGTGATCACAACACGTTTGAACGATCCATCCATCGATTCGGAAACTGTTTCCCAATCCCATGGCCAGCACGCAGTCCCGATCTCACACTTATGGACTTTTTTGTGTGGGGTCGCATAAAAACTTTATCAAAATCGTGTACCCACAATAGAAGACCTCAGAAACAGGATAATACATGCAGCACAAGAAATTCATGCCTCTCTTAGGTATTCGGCAGTAGTAAAATCAGCTGTCATAAGAAGAGCACGCGTGTGCATTAGAAGTAGAGGACGCCATATTGAAAATGTATTATAAAAATAAAAAATGTAGTTTCAAACAAATTATCCTGTATTAAGGTATGATTTTGTAAGTGTAGTATTTTTATTGCTTTTTCCTTCCTCCTCTTATAATAGTCATATGTTTGCCAATTCTTAATCGATTTGTGATTTTTATACGTCATTTGAAAGGTAATGAAACGTAGATGTTTTTTAATTATTTTGTACGAAAAATTTGTATGCGACTTTTTCTAGTAAACTGAAGCTTTTGAGATAAACGAAGATTTTTTCAACAGAAATCGAACTATTTTGAAGCTTACTGCATGAGATAACGTCAATAATGTACATTTGAGTATCAATTTTCATATTGTAGAATATTTTTATTGTAAAAGGACGTTAATTTTATAAAATCTTAAAAATTAGTATAATTCGAAAACGATTAATTTTCGGACAGTAGTTCCTGTAGTAAAATCGACTCAGATTAGCTTGTAGTATCTCCCCCCACCGGCTCCGCATCTATTTTCCCGTCACCCTGTATAAAAAGATAGTTATATCAATAATGGAAATTTGAAAACGTACGTATATACGAATGTGTGTGAAGTCTGCGTGGTACACTTTTTATGCTGTCAGTGCAATTTTTTCCTGCCTATTTCATCTATGAGGGATTCAGCATTCAGCAGTATCTCAAAGATTGTAGACTCGGCAATGTTAGTGGTGCTATGTGTTATAATGAGTGTTACTGAACCAATTAATGTTAAATGAAGTACTCACTTTTGGACCTCCACATGGGTTTTACAACCTTCACTTCAACCATGAAGATGACAGCAGCAATAATAATGGCCCCAAGAGCGGCCTTCGGAATAAAGAAGAAATATGGTGTGAAGAAGAGCAGCGCCAGGATAACCAAGACCGAAGTGTAGAGTCCACCTAAAGGAGTTCGCACACCGCTGGAGTTGTTCACTGCGCTTCTGGATAGTGAACCTGTAGATGGGAAAGACTGGACGAAGGAGTTACAGATGTTGCACACGCCGATAGCGATGAACTCCTGGGTAGCGTCCACCATCTTACCGTTTGCTGAAAAGAAGAAACGATTCATCATCATCACCAAGCAGTAACACTATTCCTGGGACAGAAGGTGTATGAAAAAATAATGCGAAACGTCGCTTATTGTATCAATATAGCTCGGTCTCTTTCTCCGCCGCTGGTACTATCTAGATCTGCTAGATGGAATAACCTTTGTTTTTCGATTCTAATTCTATCGAGTCCTTCACATCGTCTACTGACATATAGCTGCCTCCAGTTTACCACTAAGCTAGTTCAAGGCTAGCACCATAATATGGTGATACGCCATACGTATTTGAGCCCTACCTTCTCCGCTACTGATTTAAAAAATTCAAATGATTCAGTTGGAACAGAAAAAGAAATTCATTAATATGGCTGATTTTCCCAAAAGAGTGATGCAGTAATTAGAGAACATTATTTTTCGAATAAGTACTGCAGAAATTAGTAAATGTTATTCAGTTAAAGGCCAGAAAATAGAGAGAATTTGAATAACATATTAAAATATGTGCAACAGTAAATTGTTTTGGTCATATATAGTTAGAATATTGTTTTCTAATGACAAGTTCAAATCAAATGTCATAATAGGGCTGAGACATTAGACGCCATTTTTATAAACGTGGGAACTATAGATTCTATGTGATATATATGAAAGTGAATTCTATATTCTCTGTAAGTCATTACTCTGTTGGAATGTTTTAATGATTTTATGCTTGTTTTGGGGAGTAAAATGCATTCACAAAATGCTAAATCAATTTGAGGTGATGTAGTGTTGGTTACGGTGTCGTTTATGCAAATCCGTCATTCCCTCACTATATTAGAAAGTGAGGCAATGAAAATTATATCAGGGAATAATTTTTGCATATATAAAATTGTGGTTTTGGTGTTATTCTTTAACTAGAGATTGTATAGCATGTTTTCAATTTCAACAGATATTCTTATATCAAGAATGGGTAAAATGAAGTTAAGTGAAGAAGAAAAAAAAAATAATAAAAAAGGAGTACGACAGAAAGAGGCGAGAACAAATGAAAATTAATGCTGAGTCTTCAGAAGCTTTGCGTGAAAAATAAAGGTTAAAGTATTTAAAGAAGAAGAGTAAAGGTCAATTTAAGTCAATAAGTTCTATGAGTGCAACAGAGACTAGCCAAAAACGAAAACAATCGAAAATATTTACAGAGAATAGTTGAAGAAAGACCCCCATCAAGTTCTGCACCATCTTTACAGCACAGAGCAGAGAACTTGTCTGCTCTCAATAGACGTAGAAAGCGCAAGCGGCGAACTATTCTGTACGCAAAGATTAAAAGTTTGGAAAATAATGTAAGGAACGCAGTCAAGCTTATGGAAAAATATAAGAAGAGGTGTTTGAGATTGACAACTAAAAATACTGACCCAAACTCTCCAGCAACTAAAGTGCCTTCGCTCTTAAAGAATATACAAGTTCCTGACGTTGGAAGAAAAAGATTCATTTTCGGAGAAGCACTGTCAACGGACCTCAAAAGTACCTATCTATGAAGATCTTGGAAGTAAACATGGAGAAATGGAAAAATATTGCAAAATGTTGAAGCTGCAATTAGTACAAAAGATTCAAATTGCTATACAGATCGAAACATCTGTTCAAAAAAGATTCGTACAAAAAGAATTGTTAAAGTTAGCTCCAAAATGATGAAAGTTAAGGGTGATGTTCATTTCTTGGAGAAGGATGAAAATACGAAGATGTGATCAGGGAAGAAGGACTATCTAAGCTCTCTGAAGTATAAAACAAATCTCAATACAATATTAATAAATTAACTTATGTTTTTTATTGAAATTCAGCATCAAATTGTTGTAAAAATCATTCCACCATCCTATTAGTCATTCCCTCATTTCATAGTTTCTTAAAAGTCATTTTTCTACATGTTATACACAAAAATATGGAGGATCTTCATTTTCAATGAACCTCTCTAAATTAAAACTTTATATTTCTGCAACAAAAAGGATATATTTTCATTATTTTTTTTGAGAAATGCAAAATGATATTTCTAAATTTGTTGAGAAATACCCATATACCTACATTAATTAGACTAATTTTTCAGTGATTGTATTTTTCAGTAGCACATTATCTGGAAACATATCCTGTAAAACTGATTGAGAAATAACAAAAGATAAAAAAGATTACCGTTCCAAATGTAGCGATTTTCTACAAATCCTTCAAAATGATGATAGCTCAAAATCAGGAGTTTTCTAATATGAAATGATCCCCCTATCACCTCATTTCTTTTGATTCATGATTTTTGGGACATATTGCATACATCCAATTAATATTCAAATATTCTATCACATCTAACAAATAAATCCCTGAAAGAAAATTAATCATTCCCTCGTTGGAGTATGCTAGTCAGCACATTAATATACCGCACATGTAGGTATGTGGAAGAGGCGTAAAAATGCTCTTGTAACTTGCGGTCACTATTGCCATAATTTAAATTCAGGTCAAAGGCATTTGAATCCGCGACTTGTCGCTTTTATTCCATCACCTGCCGGCCAATTGGTTTGGCAGGTCCAAGGAATCTGTAATAGTCTGGGGTCCCATGCCTGATTACTCTATTGTTTTGTTAAATTACATCATGTCGAACATCGTAGCTGTGAGGTCTTGTAGGGATGTTAAAAAATAATCGATTTTCTTTTTAATCTATTGTTTTCCTTATAGTTGATTTTTATTTTCCTAATGATAATAGCGTTTCATTAAATAGATTATGTAAATTACACGTTTTATTCTATTTTTGGAATACAGACTGAGAAAGGAAATATCACTCGAGAATAAATACTGTGCAACTTTATTATCAGAACGCCTAAATTATTACCGAGGCATGTAATGACACTTGAGGTCAGCCCACTAATTTCTAACCAAGCTTTCTGCGATCATTATTTCATTATAAGAAACGCTATGGATACCTGGTAGCCCATTTATCGTGAAAAATATATATATATATATATATATATATATTCTGCAATTTTGAGCACTTCTTGATAACCAAACAAGGTTATCAAACAATGAACCATAAAAGTGACAAGTGGCAACACTCTTATTTCCAAGTTTATGAGCACGGGAAGAAAAGTGCACTTTTGACGTTGCTGAAGGTTTACTTTGTCCTTTTTCCGAACAGGTACGTCAATTACAAACGCTTAAATTGTTACAGAGTAGCACTGCAACAAAGAAAGTAGCCCAGGATGCAATGTTTAACCAGCAACATATCAAATGTGGCAATTACGCGAAATCCGCTGTCAAAGTGACAAAGGTGTTCCATGACTACCGCTATTCAACATAAAAGCGCTACACACCGCTTTACGCTCAACAGTTCTTATGCTCTGGTATACCGCTTATCTATATAAAGGGTATTCCTTAATGATATGCAAATATTTAAGGGTGTGAATCTACATGAAAAATTAATGTTAGTTTGCTTGATAAACTATGGTCCAAAAATGTTTCCTTACAAAAATGTGGGGTGTTGGAGTTTTAGGAAAAAAATTGAAGTTAATTAATATTTTTAGAACCGCTTCAGATATTTGACTGATATTTAGTACGTAGTGAAAGTCAATAAAGTTGCATATTTTTCAATGCAAAAATAATTTTTAGCTTTAACAGTGGCGTATTGGGTATTGACAGTGATATTTTTTAAGAAAAAAATGGTACGCCAATGGTTTTTTGCCAAATTAAATATATTTTTGAATTCCCCGTTCAATTTAAAACAAATGATATATCGTAAATGGTTTTCTTTCGGTACGCCATTTTTGAGTAAAAAAATAAAAAGCGTTCTAATGTCTAACTTGCAAAAGTTATTGGACCGCTTCGACAACAAGTTGAAGGAGACACGGCCACATTTGACGAAAAAGAAGGTGCTGTTTCGGCACGATAACGCAGCAGCACATTCATCCGAAGTTGTCGCCGCCAAACTGCATTAATTGCGTTATGAAGTGCTGCCGCACGTATTGGCTAGCGGGGAAAAATTTAGCTCAAACGAGGAAGACAGAAGCGTATTTTGGGGAGTTCGATAAATCCTAATTTTTGGGAGGTTAAGAAAATGGAAGTAACGTTGGGAACAGTGTATCTTCTTTCTAACATGTTGAAAAATAAAAAGAATTTTTTTGGAAAAAATGGTGTTTTCATTTCTAACACGGGTACTTATTGAACTGCCCTTGTATGTATTTTATCAAGAATTTTACTACTATATAATAATATTATCGTGATAATTTCAAGCTCTCTGGATTGGAAATCATCGACATATATGGTTAATGCAATCAAAAACAATGATAAATTGCTGTTATTGTTATACGTAGCCTAATATGTACATAGAAAAATCATTTCATGAATGAATTTAATATGGGTAAAATATGAACAATTTTCTACATTCAGATTATCGACTTTGTAAGCAATCATTTTTCCCGTCAAATGTTACATTTTGAATGAAGTGTAACGAGTGATAGATTTAAAGCATTTTGTGTTACTTTATTTATTATATGACTCAATTGTAAAACAGCGTTAAGCTTCTTCGACAAAAATCAGCACAGGGGAATGAACCGAAAAAATCAGTCACCGTTAGGAATCTCAATGAGTACTTACCGAAAGCTTTGCATACGGCAATGTTCTCTAAAATTCCTATCAGGGGTACCACTATGATGCCGCTTCCAAGTTGCGACACCATATCCAAGAAAGTGGTTCGTATTATAGTACCATTTACTTCTCTTTCATATCCAAATGGAGGAAGTTTCAGTTCCGGTAATCCTTGTGGTACTATGCCTATCACCTGAAATGAGAAATTTGATATCTTATCGCCCGATCATGTGAACATAAAAATACTAGGAGATTTTGACAAAATGTATTTATTTAGCGCGTGGACAGGTCCACGGTTGGTCAAATATATCTACAAATAATTACCACTACCGTCAAGGCACATATCCCATTGTTTCACCAACTGACGTATACCCTGCTTAAAGAATTCTTGTGCCTGCTGCTTGAAGAATTCTTTTACGGCATTTTGCACTTCCTCGTCTGACTGTAAATGCTTATCTTTCAACGCCTTTTTTAGTGACGCAAATATGTGAAAATCTCAAGCCGATGAATCGGGAATATAAGGTGGATGCTTTAATATCCTCCATTTCTTCCGTCGTTTATTTTATTTCACTACTCTGGCAACATGAGGCCGAGCATTGTCGTGCAGAAGAATGACACCACGTGAGAGCTTCCCTAGATGTTTTCGTCTTATTGATTGATGGAGATTGTTCAAAGTGTCATTCTACAGGCTTGCGTTTATATGGACTCTAAGTTCTTTAAGCTCTACAGGGTGCGCCATCTTTGATGTCGGTATGTAAACGTGAAATAACTTTGAAAACAAAAAACTGATTTCTATATATCGGGTATTTTTATTAAATATGGTCCTTTACAATTTATTGGCACTAGTTTTTGAACACAACATCTATCAAGTGGCCACCTTTATTGGCCAAAACAAAATATGCCCGTTTTGCTGCGTTTTCCATTACTTTTTCGAGCATCTCTGGTGGTATAGCGGCGATTGCGGTACGAATATTTGCTTTGAGTTCTTCAGTGGTCTGGGGCTTGCTGTCGTACACTTGACTTTTCAAATAAACCCACAAGAAGAAGTCCGGTGGGGTCAAATCTGAAGACCTGGATGGCCAGTCAATGTCACCTCTTTTTGACATCAGACGTCCAAGGAATTTTCGTTGCAGAAACTGGATTGCTTCGTTTACAGTGTGGCATGGCGCACCGTCTTGTTGAAACCAGTAATCATTAAGACCTTTTTCACGCATTTGTGGGCAGACATAATGAGCCAACATCCACCGATATCGATTTCCATCGACTGTTTCGTTTTCGTTGAAGAAAAATGGCCCAATGATGGCGCAAACGCCGACCCAAACAGTCACTTTCCGGTCATGCAACGGCATTTAGTGGATCTCATGTGGATTTTCCGTTCCCCAAATGCGGCAGTTTTGCGTATTAACGCCGCCAGAGAGCGTGAAATGGGCCTCGTGGGTCATCACAATTTGCTTCCAAAAATCAGGTTCAGTATCAACCATGCGAGCAACTGTTTTGGCGACGTGGACGGTCAGTTTGCAATATTTTTTGTGTTAACTGCACCTTATAAGGACACAAATGCAAATCATCCTTCAAAATGCGTCGCAACGTTGTTCCACTGATACCAAAATGCTGAGCGCGGTGACGAAACGACACTTTTGGGTTCTGGGCAACGCTGTCTCGGACCGCATCAACCAATCCATTGGAACGTTTTGGTCGCTGATGAACGGTATGTTGACGATCTTCCACTATCCCGTACTCAGGAAAATTGAAAATTCAAAAACCAAACGACGGATATTGTTGTCAGACGGTACCTTTTGTTTCCCACTCTTTCATATAAGCTTGCTGTCTATGCTTGGCTTTCTTCAAAGATTCCGCTTCTTTTTTTTGTTTTCTGTATTCCAGAGTATCGCATCTTTTGCTGTGCTTCTCTCTTCCAGAGCAACTTGATTCGGAATCCGACATATTATCGTTATTGAATTAAAACCGGCTAAATATCGAAAATAACTGAAATCCATCTTTTGATTTTTAAGTTTCAAAAGTCATAAAAACGTCGCATTCATTTCATCTAATGCACATGGGTAAATAAAAATATGCGCGTCATGTCAATACATACTTACAACGTGATAACTGATTGACGGCAATTTTTCCCGTTGATGTTTGCGGAGATAGTCCGCGTAATGCTAGGCAACCCATTATACAGAGTGGGGTACGTGCGCTTGTCTACCAAGCGGCAACACTGACAGCTGCTTACTGGTGTTAATTGAACGTAGTTGTTAGATTGATTCAACATCTGAGAGCAAAAAAGCTCATTCGCAAAGTTATCGTACATTTAGCTATGACCCTACACATAGTATCGTACATCGTACAGTACTTGAAATTATCGTACAGAAAGGATAATTATCGTACGTCTGGCAACGCTGGTGATTAGAATTGTTTCCAAGGCTAATCTGACCAAAGATGGGTTTCAATTGAACAAGCCTCGTATATTACTAGTTAATTCGCCTGAGTGATTCTGCATGGTTAATGAATGAAGAGATTCTTCAAGTTTCTAATTCCCCTTAATGGATTCAGCTAACTTAAAGCAGAGTAGCCATGAATAGTCCTGCTCACTATAGTAGGTACTTTAGTGGTAATATCGCTGAACAACTTATTAGATGGTAAGTTACACTTACCTTGAAGGGAATCGCACCATTTTGGTGGAACGAATATCCAAGAAATCCACAAACAACCACAAGAATGGCGTTCCTGGCAGTACCGATGAGCCACAGCGTGGCGTTACCAATTTTTTGTAGTTTCGTCGGTTCCATTCCTTTCTGGGTGGATCCAAATTTTATTGAACCGATTATCTGGAATTAAAACATTACTGTTATGCCTTCAATAATTATATAGTTGTAATTACCCGTGTAAGAAAAGTGCATATTAAAGTATCCACAACGTCTTATTTTCAACTTGGAAACCTTAAATGATTTTAATTTAATTTTAATGGTACCAAACCAGTACGTAACGAGCTAACTAGGTGAACCACTTTTGTGAAAAAGGTCGATGGACTTTTTTTGGCAGGGATCGCCTTGGCAGTGTCATAAAGTGTATGGCTTTATGTACTAAGGTACCTGTACCAAATAAGGCCACGTTAACGTTTGGATAGCTGTAACTTCATAAATATTTGCAATACGATCATGAAATTTTAAAGGTATCATTATAGGTATGTTCAGTGAATAAGCTATATCGGACAGCTCCGAGAACTTTTCTTTTCATATAAAAAATATATATTTTTTAAAACACTGGTGTTGGCCTTATTAGGAACCCAGCTATCCAGATAAGGCCATGATCTGGTTTTTAATAAAGCCTAGCTAGATTTCAAGTAGAAAAATCAACTTGTTTTTGCCTTCGCATTGAAGATAAACAAATAATACCTTATCGCCTCTAAGCAAGCCTACAGATTCCTCAAGGACATATCTCAAGCATATTACACACAGACGCATGTCACGTATTCCATTCTTATCGCATATGAAACAGTCCCAGCTTTCGTCTTTATTCTTCTGGCAACCATTTCTACTGCATATGCCTTATAGACTTACCTGTTTGAATTAACAAGAGATTCCGCAAAAAGAAGCGGACAGCATGCAAAAACGAAGACAAATTCAAAGCAGATATTTTATAAGGCACATGTTGAAAACCGACGCTGTGCTACTGCGCCATCTAGCGCCGCTCCACAGCTGCTAAATTTATGGCTGCTAACTGCTTTCAATAAATTTGTAGAACTGCAGAAATATTCAAATTTAAATGTTGATAGTTTCTGAGAAATCGACGCATGACCTTATTAGATGCATGACCTAAAGTATTTTTAAGCAATATTGGAAAAATGGAAAAGAAACGAAATGTTTAAGATTGTCTAGGACAGCTTTTTTCTATCTCTTACAATTCGTTAGATTACATTTTTTTTCTTGGGGTAAAGATTGATATTTGTTGAGGATTTAATAATCGTTAGACGTAATTACCAATGAACGTGCTTTCTTCAAATTAATTGCCGTGGTGTTTCAATTGATAAAATAATGTTTTTTTTTTCAAAGTCATAAGGTTCACAATAAGAAAGTCATCAGGTAGTGCAATATCCGACATAAATAAGTAGTATAGCCAATAAATATTCGCGTAAGTGTTGTTCTATGCATGAAACTAAACATTCCGGTTTCTCATTATCTGTGATCTTCATAGTGAGAAAACCAGCTTTCTGGCGTAGGTTTAGATATTACAGTAATTGTATGCCATTAGGTGTTTAGTTCTGGCAATTTAACGTTTAATACCTGCATTTCTCTTAGTGTTGCCCATTTCGGCCAGGGTAATTAAAAAAACACTGACAATGTTTCTAGAACAGAAAAGACATCCAGAATAACAAACGAAGTTTCTATAAACATATGTTTATTACTAAGATACAGGGTGTTTTCTCAAGCCACTACTTAATTAGAAAAAAAAAACACGAATATTGTTCCAATAACTACTACATACTACATTTTCAAAGAAGCTTTAGTTTTTCATATGGATTTGACGTCGGATTTTCAAACCAACTATTCTCCAAAAGGCACAGTCTGACAAAAATTTCTTAAAAGAGAAGACTTATGGAGATTTGAATATCTTATTGAAAAATGCAACAGACGTTAAAAAAAAAAACGGAATAAAAATAACTTTCCCTTTTCCTCTGAGGTGTATTTCCCCATTTCTACGGCACTGGTGTAGGCCCAGGCACAAACATTTTGCGCCAAATATCAAAATCTTAAACAACTTCGAGGAAAAAACTTTTAATTTCAAAATTATAACGGTTTTTTGAGATACCGTGTAGCCCAGGAATATTGCCACTGTTTTCTGAACCATCCTGTAAACGGCATTATGGGGGCTCTTGCTTTTATTAAGATAGATAAATTAGTCGCATTTCATGCAAAAACCTACACTGCCTGTTATCATTAATACTCAATACCTCATCCTCGAAGACGCCTATTATCTGCACAAATGTTCCTAAGTATTGAACTGACATAGTGAGCGAATATCTTTCTTGTAAATTTGGGTTTTGCAAATACTGATCGAAGATGACTGCCAACATGTCCCATTAACCTAAACGCGTATTTTGAATACATTCCATTATCGGGTTATATTCAAATTATAGGATTACAATAAATTCTATAAAAGTTACGCTTTGCGAACGAAAACTAAGATACGTGCGTTTGCTAATCTGATCGTTTCCTATAAATTGCGAAATATGAACATGCCCACTTTATTTTGAAACGGTCATCGACCAGAGGTACCTTAGTTTCGCGATGTTTGATCGTGCATACGAGGAAATTAGAATATATTCTGCATGAATTTGCAAAAAACTAGAGTTTGAACGCGGGTATAATTGCATGTACTCATAACATGATGATGTCAAAATGGAATATCTCGAAGAATAAGGCATTTTGCGAAAAAAATCGCCTACAAGACAAAAGCTAGTTTCATTCGTTATCTGTATTTAAGGAGAGCCACAGTTGGTCAAGTTCGCGAATATTCATTGCGGTGTAAATCAAAATTTATTTTTGAACACACCAAAGTTGCCATTGTCCCAACTTTTTGACGTTTTACTCTTCATATACTATGGACTTTCTCTTTTTATTTTGTTCCATTCACTGTTTCAATCCATTAGATCCATTTTTTGTAGGATTCAGATGCTTTATATTCTACACTGACTAATTTTTGGTCAGACACCACACATTTTCGAACGATTTTGCTTTTCTACCATAGAATCTTTGGAGTGACCATTTTGACTCCTGGATGAATCATTATTAAATTAAAATCTATACTCATCCAATTTATTTAAATAGTTATTTACTTACTCTCAGCATAAGCAAAACCACGATACAAACAACTCCTAACGTGGTGTCCCAAGCTTGAGTGTTATGAATATCTTGGAAGATACTCCGCCATGTCCCTATGAATGTGGAACTGCCACCTGATTGTATGTGAATACCCAGTACGTCTTTCATTTGAGAAGTAACGATGATCATTGCAACAGCCGATGTGAATCCTGAAGAAACTGGTCCTGATACGAAGTCTATGAGAAACCCTGGAAAAAGGAGATATCCATTGTGGTACACTATATATACAGTCCGATTATCAAAGGCGTAAACTGCAATGCTGCATAAGCAAATCTTTATAGTGACATATATGCCAGTGTTGAGATTTTCAAGTTATATCTAGGTGATCGTGAATCTTTTGTTGACTAAAGTGGTTTACAATCAATCAAAATTTACATTATATCAGGAGCACCCCAAATATCTATTCTATTTAGTCTATTTGTAAACGATATAACATCCAACTTGACTTGTCGCAGTCTTCTGTTTGCAGAGGATTTAAAATTTTTTCACTGCATTGACAAGACAAAAAATTGCTAATTATTTATCACAGGCAAATTTGGTAAATTTGGAGAACTGGTATCAGACACAGACACAAAATATGTATTTCTAAATATTAATTGATTATAATTATACCTTGTGATGGATATTTAATAAGAAACAATGAATATAAAGACCTGGGTGTTATTTTTGACACACAACTATTATTTTATTTCCCACATCAACACAGCCTATGCTTCGCTGTAATCAGTTCACGAAGGGTCAAGTTTAGCCCAAGTTAAACCTCCTGAGGAAAAACAGTTATGAACATGTACAATAGAGAAATTAAATGGATCAAGTCGGTCAAATACGCCCAAAAAATTAGTCCACAGACATTCTTTCCCTGCCCTGACATTGCCTACTCCCATATTGTCAGACGCGACAGTGCCCACCGAAGCATCACAGTAGTCCGAGTAGAACAATCAAGCAGGCCGTTACATCGGGCGCTGAGTCCAGATAGCAGAATGATACGCGTATCGAAAACCTTCCTCTATTATTCTGTTTAAAATACAAATGTACGGGGAAACCTATGATGGTGGATGGTGGAATATACTAACATCAAAAAATCCTACAAGCTCCTACAACCCCCATCCCCTATTTTTTACCCTTACATATTTTTTAAAAATAATTAGGGTTCTGGGAAACGTTAAAAAACAACGGTTGAGTGACTACAATACTTACTCGCCTAGTTGCGTAGGAAGCTATGTAACGTGCTTATAAAAGCTTAGGTTGTGTTGTTAAAATTTTTTAAAATTTAACTAAGCCTGGTACGATGCTTACTTTATTCTCCATTTTTATTTTGTGTTTTCTTTTTTTGCCTATTGTTTCTTCCCTGCTCTGTAACCGGACATCTGTCTGCTAAGCAAGATTATTTCCATAAATAAGTAAATAGATGTATAGATGATCGATAGTTAAATAAATAAATTAAAAAAATTGCGATATGAAATTGTTCGTTGCAAGTTGCAATGCCCTAAATTGCGTCAAAACTTGTTAGAACGAATTTCAAAAATTGATTTTTACACTCCGGGCACATTTTTTTAGATTTTATAGGCCAGTGTTGGCTGCCCTTGAGTTGCATCTCTCTCGTGCTCACGCAACATTGAAATTTCCTTTTTTTCATATTATTTTTTAGTGTCGAAAATTGCAAAATTAGCACTTCTTCAAATATCAAATCGCGTACATCTCGAAAACTATCAACTTTAGAGAAATCGATAAGAAACTTTGTTATTCAGAATGATAAAAAAACTTAAAAAATGGTGACTGGAACAGAACAAGACATTCTTTAAATCCGTTTAAAAGATCAAATAATTGTTGATCCTATTTTGATCATGCCAACATGCAGATTCAATAAATGGGGTCCTAAGATTATGGAAGGACCAATACTTCCCGAACTAACGGCTGATATACATATGACAGCAGGACTATTTGCTGTTCACACTGGACGCATTTCTATGCGCGTTCACAGGTCCTGACGGACTGTTTGCATGACACCGGTGTGTCGCTTATACGAGGCGCTGCAAAACGTTCTTCGATGGAACGTTCGCCTGTTCCATCTCAATCAATGTTTTTTTTTCATCACGTCCTGGTTTTGTGCCACATACGACGTGCGTTAGTGCCCAACCCAGGCGCAGTGAACCAAGCTGCTGTTTGTTTATAAATACAGGGTGGGCCAAGAATGCGTTAACATTTAAATCTAATACACCACGTAACCAGGTGCCCGCGAAGCGCGGGGAGGGGGCTAGTCGCTAGCTCGTTTCTCGGAAATTCAGTCGCAATGGATCGCTTCACGGGGCCGCAACGCGCTTACTGTGTGAAACAATTTCATTTATACAACAGTTCGCTCATTACTGAGACGCTTATTTCGCGTTGAATACAATTTACACGACTTAAGTCAGTGTCCGAGTGCTCCTTTGATAAAGAAATGGGTGAAGAAGTTCGAAGAGACGGGATCTACACTGAATGTGAAGCAAACCGGCGGCCCAAGGACTGCTCTGAGCCAAGAGAACGTGGAGCAGGTTTCCGCTTCTGTTCAACGTGATCCAGATTTATGGACGCGCAAACGTTCGGCTGAATTAGGATATATCCCGCGCATCAATACGCCGTATTTTGAGATTAGATTTGAAATTACATCCATATAAGATCCAGATAGTGCAGGAAATAAACCTATTGATTTAAATTTGCGCAAGTCGTATGCCGAAACGATGTTAGCTCGATTCAGTAGTTTTGACAATCTCTTATTTTCTGACGAAGCTCATTTCCACCTCAACGGACATGTGAATAAACAGAATTGCAGGTACTGGAGCAGCGAAAATCCCAAAGCTAAACACGAGAAGCCACTTTACTCTGCTAAAGTAACTGTATGGGCTGCAATTTCAGCAAAAGTAATCACTGGCCCCTACTTCTTTGAAGATTCTCGCGGCCATTCAGTTACCGTTAATTCTGCTGAGTATGCGAAAATGTTACGGGAGTTCTTGGTACCGATGCTACTGGAATTTACTGGCTATAATCGTAACACATGGTTTCAACAAGATGTAGCCACGTGTCACACATCCAACGAGTCCCTGCCGGTGGTCAAAGAAATGTTTCCGGAAAAGCTCATTTCCAGATGAGGCGACATCCCATGGCCACCCAGAAGTCCAGATCTATCCCACCAGACTTTTTTATGGGCTTATTTAAAGAGTCGTGTCTACATCAATAAACTAAGTACACTCCGTCAACGAAAAGAAAACATCAACGAAGAGATGTCGGCGATATCGCAGTCTTTATGCCGACGAGTATTCGAAAACTTCGGTACACGTGTAGAAGAGCGCAAAAATCGTAACGGTGGTCATTTAGATGATATAATTTTCAAGAAATGAATTACAACGAATTAGCTTTCTTGTGAATAAACAATTTTTAAAATATAGTATGTCAAATGCTTTCTTTCATACCATTTTTTCAAACGTTAACTAATTCATAGCCCACCCTGTTTAATCGGAAAAATAGAAAAATGTCACTTTTTTATAGTAATAACGGACTTGTCGATTTGATATAGTTTACGTTAAGATGATGCTCATTTGAGTGCTTTTCTTAATGTTTTACCGTTTGGTTGGTATTTTGCCCCAATTAGCTTTGTTATTTGATACCTAGCTGCTACTGAACGGAAAGTGCCAATTTCAGGGTAACCTTTGTACTAATATGTGTATTTTTATGATAATTTTAGGGATGCCTAGTAAATCCGCGAAAGGATCAACGAATTATTTTGTTGCTTCATTGATTTTTTTACCCTTGTCGATTCGTAGCATCGAAGATTATTATCAAATGCTTTTATGCGCTAACGCGTAGATGTAAAAAAGTATAAAATGTCTCGAATATTATTTTGACGAAATATTACAACAATCGCAAATTATCGTAAGTGGATTTATTGGAAAATTTATGATGTGGAGTCGGGACAATAGGCGATAAGTTTTAATTTTTACTGGTGGAGAATGAAAACTACGAAAATTACGTAATTTTAAAACAAATCACCGAGATGACACAGCTATTGTTGAAAAAAAAACAATTTTGTATCCTGGGGTAGACCTAAATACTCAGTGGTATGGAATAATGTTGCGTTAGTTTTGTTGACCAATTTTATAAATCATTGAGCTGTATACATAAAAGAGAAGCATATCCTCGGAAGCATAAGGTAAACGTATAAGGTCTTGCTTCGGAGAAAAAGGTAGAAGTATAAGCATATCCTTGTTTTCATATTCATAATGATTACCTTATACTCGCGAGGATATCCTCCAAGAAGAAGTAAAAGGTTGACTGGTATTTGTATCTTGAGCGACATCCCAACTAGCAAAGTAGTGGTATAAGCTTTTGGTAAAAGAACCGTTCAGCCATAAAAGCTCTCTATTGTTGTTGCCTGAACACCAAAATGCTGGCTTAATGTTGTGTGGAATGCAGATTTGCTTTCTGCAACATATTTGCTCTAAAATGAAGTGTTTAAAATATTCTTATATCATAGTTATACAACACCTTATAGGGCAAATTTTTAACTGTTGCATAAACGTTTATACAACTATTTTATACGGCTTATTTGCACGTTAGTCAAAATGGTTGTGTTGTGGCATCCATGGTAACGTTTATAAAACAAACCCGAGCCTTGTTGTTTTGCTGTGCAATTTACTACTTTAGCCAACAAATTGCTCCCAACGGCAGCACTTATACAACTGTTGTTTAGTAACTGTTTAAGGCTGCACGTATGCTAAATATGTCGGTAAACAACTTCACCATAACCTAACTTTCTGCTGTCATATTTTTGTAAAATGCCATAATCAATGATTTAAGACAAACAACGCATGCATATTGGTTCAAAAGGTTTTATCAACTGTTCAAACAGAAGATATAAATCAAATCCAAGCGAATAACCAAAATTTCTGTGTTATGTGCCGCGGTTATAATATGGTTCAAGATGACACACGGGTTGATGACGTCAGTTATATGAATCGCTTGAACGCGTTGGTTTTAACCGCGGTTTTGTTGCAAGATGTTTATTTTAGAAAAGTGCGTATATAATTTCTGATTATTCTTATTACTCAATAATCCTGCGGGGCTGCTTTGGTATAAAAAAATAAAACATTCAAATTTTCTGACGTGAAAAATTTGTTTTATGAAGCTGTCAACAGAGTGACGGCAAACCATTGGAAAGACTGCAGGCAGCAGCGGTGGCCGCAGTAGTAGACTCTTCGGTCTCCTGATCAGTCGCCGTGCGCTGTGCGGGTTCGAGTCCCGTCCCAGGAGAAATTTTTCTCTTGGCTATGGTTGTTGTGATTGTCCGTAGGTGGTAGACGGTCTCTGACTGTCGAACGTGGAGGTACCACCCGGCGGATCTCGTAGGCGGAGCCAGAATGTGTGCATGTTGCATGCACACGTGTTCCCTCGCTAGAGTCCGTGTGGCGTTCCCCCTTTCCCCAGTATCCCCCTATAGCCCCACGGTACCCAATGGGTGTTTAGGCCTTAGGCCTTCGTGGTAGTTGGAGTATAAAAAAAAGCGCGTATATAATCTCTGATTATTTTTATTATCACTTAATAATCCGTGCTTTTTCGTCTACAACTGTATATGGAAAGTTTAAATAAGAAACCTTTCATAATATTCATGGGAGAAATGTTTTTTTCGGATTTTTTTTTAATGATGGAACCATGGCTTTGTAACTATGATAACTTTCAATTCTATAAATTTTTCTGCATGTCAAAGAAAACATTTATTGATTCAGCAGAAATGGTGAAAAAAGAAATTAGCAAAACCGTATACAGGTGGATATCATCTAGTGAGTTTATATGGCCATATTTTAATATTCTTGTGGTATATGGCTACACAGGATACTTTGTTAAGCATAGGAACTACATTCAAAGTGTCCCCAACAACCGTAATGAGTATAACTAATAAGGTGCTCCACTTTATGGTAAAACTGAAGTCAGTCTGTATCATTTTTCTCAAAAATGAAGCTGAATTACAATAACACTATCCAATACCCGGCAAAATTCTAACTTGTCACATTTCAAATAATAACCAGAAATATAAAACTACTCTTGAGTTGGGTAAATACCACAATTTTGCGGTGATAACTATGACATATAACAGCTGATTCGTGACGTCACGGATCTTATAACCAAACTGATAACTACACTCGCTTGAACGGATTGGTAAATACCAACCCAAAATGGTAAATACCATTTCCATTTGGTTATCCGCTTGAATTTGATTATAGATCTGGTACAAATTCTGGGTAAATCTTTCGACTCTGTCGGTATTTCATTTCAGACATTTGTCAAATTGTTGTATAACACCTGCAGGCAACACCAAAATATTCTAATAACCTAAAGACAACATGGACGATGCCATGATTGTACACAACCACCCGCCATATTGGGCAAACATTTATTCCTCTATTTAATCTTAAATAATTATGTTTCAGTTCGAAATTACAGATATAAAGTGATAAAAATTAGTGTAATTGCGTCTAAATATAGAATTTGTGGAAGATTTAACGCAGATAAGTTCAGTTTTCCATCTTAAAAATCTAGACATACTTTTGATCATTGTCAAAATATGAATCAAATACGAAGCCCGTAGAAATTGGGTAATTAATCTGCACGATAATCACAATAAAATTTGCTGCGCGAGTAATTCAATAGCCCTATATCACCGTATAGAAGTTTATCATATACCTGCGTATGAAATTCACAATGGCCGATATATAAGTAAACAAGATGACTGTAATGTGTTAGTTATATATTTTTCACTTCATCTATACAATACATAAGAAATAGTTTGGTTGCAATAAAGTAGAATCACGTAACAGAATAGTTGTATAGTTGACACAAACTGAATCTTGCACTGACGCAAATGTCCTATAGCGGCTGCAAGAGGCTACACTTTTGTTTTATAACTATTACCTGCAGCCCTTATACAACCTCTTAAATGACTAAAGTGTCCCATTCCGCTTGTATAGCTGTTCTAAGAGGGTTTTGCCAATGTCCTTACAGTATACAATGCTGTTTAAGGAATATTGTATAATCATTCTTGCAACTCTAATAGGAAATAGGAGTGATAATTGTTAGTTGGGCATGTCCTGACTTGTTCCAGCTTGTAGTTGACGTGGAAGTTCGTTCACTCAGCATCACTGACAGTTGTACTCCAGAGCTTGCACAGACCGTTCCGTATTTTTACTGGATACAGTTTTTTTATCAAATTAATAATCATGTCATCCTCAAGTGATGAGGAAACTATAGAAAATAATGACAACGACCTGCAGTTCATCGCAGATGAAATTGCCATTATTTTGCAAAAGTCACAAATTCCAAAAATAAAAATGAGAAAGGACGATGCCTTAAAGAAGATGTTGAAAACTACGAATCAACATCCGGCAAACCATTAGATACTAAAGGCTTATTAAAAAAAATCAACATCATGAAATCAAGATTGGAGATAAAACAGATCTAAAAAAAACTGTAATAAAGCAATTAAATTGTTAGATTGGGAAAGAAAGTTGCTGAAAGCTATGGAAGGTGACTGTAATCCTACAATTGAGAAAATTAGAGGTGCTGTTCAGGTTGGTAGTGTTCAAGAAGATGGAAGTGAACTATATACCGAGCGCAGTGAGCAAACAGTTAGTATTACAGCGCCAGCAATTCGGAAGACATTGCCAGCAACATATAAATACGAAACTGAGGAAACCAAAGAGTTAACTACAAAAGAACTGCAACGTCTAGTGCTATTACAGCAGTACCAAACAAATATTTTACAACAAGAGTATTATAAAACGAAATTAGAAATGATGCAGCGTCAGAAGCCACCTGTAACTTATGATGTTCACGAAAATAAAACTTATTATAACTTATACTTTAATCAGTAAAACTATTTATTATAATACTCAAGGTTCTTCTTATTTGTTGACCTAGTTGGCGGAGAGGAAGTTCGTCATTCTCATGATTTCCTTCATCTTCATCTGGATCTTATTCAACTAACTCAAAGTCAGCATCGCCCAAGCTCTTCGCAACATTATGGAGTACAATACAAGCAATAATTATTTTCCATTTTCCAACTCTACACGGCAAACATACTGTAGGATAGGAAACAGGTGTTTCAGTTTTTCTTGTTTTAAAAGCTTATTATAATTTATCTCTGCACCTGGAGTAGGATTTCTGAAGGGAGTCATAAGGTATTGCTCAATACCATAACCGTCATCGCCAAGTAGTACAACATTTGCTTTATTTATTAGTTGTGATCTAGTCTGTGAATTTCTCCATATTCTGGAATCATGCACTAATCCAGGCCAACTGACATCAACACTTGTGAACATCTCTCTGGCAACACAAGTGGCTGCACATTAAAAGTAGGTTTCCCTTTTCGGTTGATATACTTATCTCCATGGCGATTTGGTTTCAGGATTCTTATATATGTACAATCAATTACACCAATTGCTGTCGGAAATTTATACATGCTTTGCCATATCCGCTTGGCCTCCATCAGTTCATGGTTGGCAGTTGGAAACCTGATCCATTCGTTCGACTGTACAACTATGCTGTTCACAACTCTATCCACAGTCCGAGATACCGTTGCTTGAATAACACCAAGTTCCTGAACAATACCTTGTTGATATCCAGGGGCACCGAGATAGCGTAGACATATCTTCATTTTATGAATACATGAAAGTGCTCCTTCTCGAGTTTCCTCATTCTCAACTGAAAATCTGTCCGTAAGCCATTGTACATTTGCTTCGTCGAACCGATATAATTTTTTGAAGTCACGACCAAGTGAAGGTAAACGAGGTTTGTACGTTTTAACATCCCTAACATCCACAATTTCCGCCATCATCGTTTGACCACCTTTCGTTACGAAGTTGAGTCTGCTACTGACCACACTCAGAATTTTTTAAGGATATGCTTCCTATGCCAAGTATAAGGTGAAGATTATGAATATCCTTTTACTTATGTCACTGTTTTGAAGGATATGCTTATACTCAAAAAACAAAAGCATTTACTTCAAATTATTATAAATACCATCTGGAGGACTTCCTTCAAAATTTGCAAGTATAAGGATATCCTTTATGAATACGGCTCATTTTGAAGATGTTTAATCTAATAGATTATGTCATAAAACATTTTGGATAAAAGTAGGTATACGTACATAAATACCCGATTTAGAAGCATTTTGGCACGTTTTGGTTGATCTACATATCTAACTAGCCTTATATGAATCCTGTTTTAGAAATATATGTATAAACCGATTTTACAACATGATTGAGGGTAAAGTTCCCCATCTGGACATATGAAAGACATTAAAAATGGGACTTTATACGTGTATGTTCAATTTGCCACAATCCAATGGTTGCATTGTTGGCCAGTCCTTTGGAAAGGAATTTTTTATAGCAATGAGAAATTTGTTCAGCATTGTTCACTGTTTTTTTGTGGTGAGCGTCACAGAATGCTTGACTAGGATCAGGATGTTTCATCAGTTTTGCTATGATATCTGTACTTTTCAATAAAAACAAAAAATAACAAAATCGAGAGTTTTATCATTAAATTAACCTTTACAGCATTTTGAGGATCGCTCTCAACTGTTACTTCCAAATACTTCAATAGTTTTTTCTATTAAAAATATTTATTTTTGTATATGTAGATAAGGGGTATATTCATTTGATCTCAAGAATATAATTCCATTGTAAAATCCATATTTTTTTCTAAAATCCCTGTCACTCTTAGTTTCCGAGAAACATGCATGAAACCTGTTTATCGACATATGTCACGAATTTAACTTACCTAATCCAAAAACACCCATAAGGAACTGTACGATACCGGTCAGGAAACACAAGAGGATGGCATGTTCGGGTCCATATCCGTGGATCACTTGGAACGTCATAAGGGCTGAGATCGCCGAGGGGCCCATAGGTACGTCTTTACAGCTGCCCAGAAAGATGTAGATGAATGTCCCCAGGAAGGAACTGTACAAGCCATACTCTGCTGGGAGACCTTTAAAAACATATACGTTAGGTGATACTTGTATGACGAGAGCTAGTGTTGCTAAAAGTTTTTTGTAAGTGGTGATCCACGAAATGACATCATGACGAGCTACGTTGGTCTGTATGTAATCATCAAGAAACTATGTTAGGTAGTACGATAGTAGATTCGGGTTGTGAAGAAATTTAGCAGTCCCGGATGTTTCAAATTCGACCTTGGGACCATTGGGATCTCGGAAATGGTAAGAGATACGAAGTCGCTTAAATGGAGGCAACGCTGCCTATTTAGGTAACTAACAAAATGCCGCTTAGAAAGATTCGAAACTAGAGCTACTTCCGGAGAGACCGTCGAGGTCCTGTGGAATGACCAACACGCTCGCCAGATTTGACATCTTTAGACTTTTTTTATGGGGCTCTTTGAAGAAAAATGTGTACGAAACTGAACCTACTTCAATATTGGATATAAGGCTGAGAATAACAAATATTTATAGAAATATCGATGCTACTATGTTTGAAAATGTTCGACTCGAAGTTACGGACCGGCTGTTATTGAGTCAAGAAGATCAAGTCAACCATTTCCAGCATCTTCTAAACTGAACTCAACGTATTTATTCGAATTATCAAGTTAAATGTCAATGTATTCAGGAAATTATTAAATGTACCACCATTTTGCAGTAGCTAAAGGTATTGACTTTATATTCTAGGGTTATAAAGTACTCGTCAGGAGCTTCAAAATGATGTGCCACACATCAATTTCAGTCCCTCAAGTTTTAATTTTTTGAATTGATACGTTCAAAAAATCAAAGGGGAGGGGGACTGTAGGTTGCCGTACGACCGCGACCGATACGCTACGGGTCTGTTGAAAATGTTTCTCTAAGTTTTAAGGGGTAAATCTATGATGTGCGAAATATGCCAACCAACGATTTTTAGTTTTTGGCATAGAATTAACTTTGTTTTTATAGACGGGCCAAGAATCAGCGGACAGATCAACAGGCAGACAGGCTGACGGAAATCAGTGGCATGGTTTTTCGTGCTGTATATTTTTTGTCATATGACATCCAAAAAACGTAACATGATCCAAATAAAATTCCAAGATTCCTATAGAATTATTTTTCAAATGAATGGCACTCTCGAAACCATAGTCTAAGGGGTGAAGGTAATTTTATAAGACAGCAGCGTAATGAATAGAAAAAATAGGGCAAACATCTATGTGTATGGTTAATGTATTGTCATATAGTTATTATAAGAATTTAGTAGGAAGTATAGGGTCATTCAACTTGACGCCATTTATTCCAAAACAATGCCTCAGTACTTACCGGCAATGTTGGCATATGCCAACGCCTGAGGTATAACTGTAAGTCCCACCGTGATTCCTGCTATGAGATCACCGACAGCGTTCCCCGAATCGTACGAGGGAAGCCAGGCAAGGATGGGCAGCCGCCGCAGCAGCATTTTGCGGCTGCATGCACCTCGCGCTTTCCTCCGTGCCCACGGTACTACCTGTTTCACTGTTTCCACCACGGTCGAGCGCTTTGACGTGTTGTCTATCACTGAAATCAAAAATATAGAAATTAAGATAATAGCATTAGTCTTTGAGAAATTTGTAGGTTGTCTCAGACATGTGATCTACCTCTTGAATTACTATAGAACGCAAAACAGTAGAAAAATCAATCCCGAACTTCCCATGAAGAAAAAATACCCTGAGGAAACGTGGTTCATTAAACGGTTTATTCCGAAAAATTTTCATCACCTTTAATGAATTTTTTAGTTATTCTAAGTAACTAATTTACTTGGTTTAATTAAACTGATTTTTGTGGCACCAGTTTAATTGTAAATAGCAAACCAGGTACTTCTTTTATTAAACTGTTTAATTAGTATATGTAATTTAGTTTATATAGAAAAGTTACACTTAAAAAAATTAAATATTTTAATAAAAACATTTAAACTGTTTATTTGAATCGCCGACGCCGATTTTCGAGACGAGTTTCATATTCGAATGTTGCTGCTGTTGGTGTAGTAGTGTTCTTATAGGTCAACGACTATTGTGTCAGTGGTGTATCCATCGACTTTAAAACGAGGATAGGCCCCTTTGTTTACATTTCTGGTTGTTGACGACATATACAAAGCGAATCGACACGTTGCCTCGCCGCAAGATGCGGCGGCTAAAGAACGGATTTACTCATGGTGGTTCTACACATTCTCAAACCTCCAGTAACTAAATTTATTCCCTGTTTATGGTGATTTTTCAGCGCATATGTGGGTACTTAACATCATGATTCTCGTACAATGGATTGATATCAAAATAGTCAAACAAGTAAAAATCTTACATAAATTATACCATAATTGACCTGGCAACGTTGCTTTTATATGTTCATTCATACTTTATCCACATCGTAAGAAAATAGTCGCTGTTTTGATGGATCGAGTCGACTCGAGTCAGTTTATACGGTATTCGAATCATGACTGGATTCCCTGATTCGAGACCAGTACTCGAATTCTATGTTTGGTATTCGAATGCTAACTCGAGTCCAGCCGGACTCGAGTCTAGAAATTCGAGTCCAGAATTCGAGTCTGAAAATTGTAGTCCAGAACTAGAGTCCGATTTTAGAACAAAAGGGAAAAATGAAAACAATTAAATAAATTCACTCTGTAGAACTCAGTACTCACAATAACTGCTAACTGACGCAAAACAAAGAAATCAAAACAAAAAGATGCAGGTTAAAACGTGTTTGTATTATTAGCGCCGCGCCACTTCATTGGTAAGTGTGCGGCCACACATAAGGCGGACAGCGGATCGGAGAAGAAAGCAGAGAGGATAGCGGAGCGTTCGATTGACTTAAATTAAATAGGTATGGCCACACATACGGCAGAGCGCATGATGGAAGGAAGCGTACTTGCTAGCTGGTAGCGGAGCGGTCAAATTTGTTTGATATTTTCGCGCGTATTAGGTTATTTCCTATTGTTTTAAGAGAAGTCAACGTGGAAAAATGGCTTGTGAAGTGTTTGGTAGCCGACCAATTTGGGATGTTTCACATCCACAGCACCATAACAGAGGTATATTAGATAAACTATGGACCGAAATTGCGAGACACATGGATATTCCAGGTAAATATAAGAATGTAGAATTTTATATAAATATAAATTATTAGCAAGAGACATTTTTTCGTAATAACACCACCGTTACCTGGGCTCTGTACTGTTGATGGAATTTGCGAATTAAAATACGCCTCCAAACCAGCGACATGTGTAGCCAGTATCCGAAGTACTATCCGTCTTCCTCTTCGCTACCTTCCTCGCTAGCAGCTTTATGTGTGGCCGCATACTAAGTAAACAGTTTGCGAGTACGAGCGAGTTAACCAAACTCCAATACGAGACTCGAGTCAGTTGGACTCGCATAAATAGAATCGAGTTAGCGAGTACGAATCGATTCTTCCTGACTCGAGTACCGGAATCGAGTCCGGCATACTCGAATTAAAATAGATTGGTATTCGAGTAGGCGAGTTCTAAAGCAGGAATCGAGTCTGACTCGAGTCAAACCGTACTAGGCACTTAGGCCCGTATCGTCAGTCGTCCCTACAATTGTAGGGCGCGTTTATGGCCTCCTTGATTGTCATAATCCTTTCTCTCCTTCAAAAATTTCTAGATTACACTTGTCCCGTGTCAGCGTCAGCGCTCTCCTATTGTGAAGATATGTTTTCTTTTTAAATTGTAGGAAATTTCAGGCTGTAAAAACATGATATAACTCAAAAGCAAGCACAATTTGATGCAAATAGATGTTTGTGACATAACCTCAAAATAGAGCGCTGACACGGAGAAGTAGAAAACTATGATAATCAAGGAGGCCTCAAAAGGCGCCCTACAATTGTATGGACGACTGGCGATACGGGCCTTAGCACTTATTTAAGTTACTAAACAACTGCCATTTTGTGTTAATTGTCAAAAGCTTGTTTTGATAGTGAATTTCCTTGCTGTTTTTATGATTCAAGTTTCTTCCATTATTATCCATTTTAAAGAGACTATATATTCAATCGCAATAAAATGGTGCAGCAGTGCTATTTGTGTAAAATTTATAAACACCAGGCTGGAGCGAAATCTTTAACATTTCATTCGTAAGTATACATCCCGTTTATGATTATGTTTAGAGGCGTATCATGGCCTCTCATTATCGAGAAACTAGGCGTATTTTTTAGCCAGCGGTTCAACCAAAATTTCCGTCTGAGCGATATTAAAAGAAGAAAGATTGGTCAATTGCTTGCACCGGTGGCTCAACCGGTGAATTAAAGAATACGCCAACTGTTTATAGCTTTCGATTTATAACTGCAATATTCGAAATTCTAGCCTTCCCAAGAACCGGGAAAGGAGAAAAAGGTGGTTGTCGGCCCTTGGATTCGTCGAAAACCATCAATTTCCTAAGAGGGTGAAGCTATGTTCCAAGCATTTTGGAGAAAATGCCTTTGTTTACGGAAGTGAGGGACAAAAGACACTCAAGTGGGATGCGATTCCTCTCATTCTTTGTTTGATCCTGCAGTAAGTACCAGGTAAACTCTTAATACATAATAGACTAGTTTTTCTAATACAGTAAACATGAAAGAATAGTAAGTAGTATTCAATAATATTTAATTACCACTCATTTTGACACACTAATACGATCAGACTGATGTGTGATTTTATCTGCTGTTTAACTTTTCATATAAGATGTTTCTGATCTAGGTATTTCCTAACTTAACTGTTATGGATTTAGGTAAATTTAGCTATATTTACTGTTATATTTTGGCAATTTCACAGATAATAGACAGATATAAGACATGCTCTGTAATCTATCAGCAATCAAAGATCTAATATATCTGCATTTTATGAGCTGAAATGAAGATGATGCTTATATCTTACATTACATTGTTATGAAAACAGTGACAGTACATTTGATTGATTTGGTTTGTTCAAATCACAATGCATTAAACTGAGTTGCTCATACTTTGATTAAAACTATAGTTCCTTTTGATTTTTTGTGCATTTTTTATATATGTACATTGATTTTTATTTTTTTTTATTGTTTAATTTATTTATTTATTTTTATTTAGTGTTTAATTTCATGAAGTATTTCTATGCATTAGTATCTCACTACGTAGAAGTCCATAATTTGGTTATATATAATATATATATATATATATATATATATATATATATATATATATTTTGAGACGTGGTCATTGTCGTCTAGACCAGTTAGGTGAAAAATTAAAGCTTCCGCCTTTTGTTGGGTACTTCGACAAAATTTAAGCAAAGAGGAATCTTTATACTTTTTTTAATTCTCTCTAGCTTTCAATGAACTTTGCCATCATCATCAGGAGAGTAGTATGTGAGGATGTTGCTAATTGTTGTTTTCGTATAGGATGGGGGAAACGTCCAGTAACATGGTGAGAGCTGGATACATGGTACAATGGTTAAAATTATATAAAATATGACAAGACAAGTTAAAGAATTGAAAGCTAGAGAGAATTAAAAAAAGTATAAAGAGTCCTCTTTGCTTAAATTTTGTCGAAGTACCCAACAAAAGGCGGAAGCATTAATTTTTCACCTATATATATATATATATATATATATCCTTTAATTTCTTTGGGTACAAGGCAAAGTATTGCAAAAGTACACTCTTATAACTTAAAATCTCAAAGCTCTCGAAGAATTTTTTAGTAATTAATGCTAATAGTAATTATTTACTTAATAAGTCGTCGAGATTATTGCTGAAATTGTTTTTTAAACAACAGTGAAGGGAACACATAGTGACGAATAAAAAACTGGACAGATGAGGTTCGATTAGGACGGAATTATTTTATTGTTAAATGGCAAATCATTTTGAAAGGTTTTAATTAAAATTAGGCGTTGATTGATTTCGGAAGAAATTTTGAGATTTTGAAACTATTGAAAATTCCCCCGAGATTTCATCTTTTTTTTTCCACTGATAACCTCCACATTATCCAATACGTGCCGGCCGACTGACGTTCTAATTCTACAGCAGGGTATGAGGTGTGACCTTGAAATTTATTGGTAGGTCACCCATGATGTAGTACTGTGAAGTGTGTTGCCTGATAGTAAGGCGTTTTTGTAATGTATAGTGCAAGAGGTTGCGCTATTGTTGACCCTTAAAGGTAGAATAACCTCACATAAAAGTGATGCCAGACTGCATCCAGAAAGATGTGCTCTAGCTTCTCACGTGAATTCCACAGGCCATCAAATGGGATAGAATGATATCAGGTGCTAGACAGAGAAAAACATCTATCAAAACGCTTGTTTTTGGAAATGTCACATATCTTTATGACAGACAAGTGCATGAACAAAAAAGCGGATGTCAATCAACTTAGCGTCGTCTACGAATATTTGCTGAACTGCGAAAAATTGGAAAAGCAACACATCTCCCCCAACATAGATTTGTCCCAATAATCGCTCAATCTACGCACAATAATTTTTCACTATCTTAATAAAATCAAATAAAAATTTCCCAATGTTTTCGTCCTCAAGTGGTAATACTCTCTACGGATTTTTCAGTTGTTTGATATGATAACATCCAAATCACACCCCTTCCAAAGCAACTTCTTTTGGGTTTTGAAAATTTCTTCGCACTTCATCGGTTAACAATAGCGCAACCTCTTGCACTATACATTACAAAAACGCCTTACTATTAGGCAACACACTTCACAGTACTACATAATGGGTGACCTACCAATAAATTTCAAGGTCACACCTCATAGGCTGCTATAGAACGTCAGTCGGCCGGCACGTGTTGGTTAATGTGGAAGTTATCAGTGGAAAAAAAATATGAAATCTCGGGGGAATTTTCAATAGTTTATAGTTTCAAAATCACCAAATTTCTTCCAAAATCAATCAACGCCTAATTTTAATTAAAACCTTTCAAAATGATTTGCCATTTAACAATAAAATAATTCCGTCCCAATCGAACCTCATCGGTCCAGTTTTTTATTCGTCGACTATGAGTTCCCTTCACTGTTGTTTAAAAAACAATTTCAGCAACAATCTCGCCGACTTAGTAAGTAAATAATTTTCGCCTAATTACTATAAGTTGCTATTTTAATAATAATTGTTTCCAGCTCCAGACGATGAAGAAAAAATTCTTCGAAAGCTTGAGATTTTAAGTTATAATTGTGTACTTTTGCAATACTTTGCCTTCTACCCAAAGAAATTAGGATATCTTCTGCAACAACGGATATAATCCGCCTTATCGGTTCATCGCATGGGAAACAAAAAAGCGAAAGAATTTGAAACGCTTATCACGATGTTTTTACTAGAATTTTATTCAGTTGTATTCAGTCAATGTGTCAGTCGGTAACGCGTGAGTGAATAGTGGTATGTTGCGTGGCTCAAACGAAATAAAAAATGTCACATGTTTACGAAAATGCTGAACTTGTGGACATGATTCTTATTTACAAAATATTGCCGCGGCATCACGGACTTATGCGGATCGGTTTCCCAATCGAGTGCAACCAACCCCTCGTGCTTTTGTTAATGTAGTACAAAGGGCTCGTGAATCAGGTGACTTAAGACCTCACAGGGGAGAGCATGCCGGTGCTCCAAGACCGCACGATCAAATAGAACTAGAGGAACAAATTTTGAGAATTAGTAAATGATTTATTATTATTCACGTAATTCTCACGTTTGGGCTATTGAAAATTCCCATGAAATAAGGGAAACTAATTTTCAACAGCGATTTGAACCAATCAACCTGAGGGCTGGAATTGTTAATGGAATTTTAGTGGGGCCTTTTGAATTACCAAATCGCTTAACTGGTGAAAATTATCTTGATTTCTTGCAACACAATTTGTCTGGTTTACTGGAAGATGTACCTTAAAATATTAAACAAAACATGTGGTTTTTACAAGATGGGGCACCCCTCCGGTTAATACCCGCGAAGAATTACGTGCTCGACTTGAGGAAATGAGTACAGTGATCAGAAATCAACCAGTGATTTTATTGCGTGCTTGTAAAGAGACATGGCTAAGACGCGCCCAGCTCTGCGTCGAGCAAAACGGAAATCATTTCGAACAGTTTTTGTGACATGCTTTTGGGCGCACAGGTCTGCACTGAAATACTTGTCGGGAGGATACTTTATAAAACAAGGTAACATTTTTTATTTTTTTTTATTTTTACACACATATTTTGGTTTATCTTCCTTCTACAATTATTATCTGAAAATTAATGACTCAACTTCAAAGTATATATATATACAGGGTGACTTCGAAGTTGAGTCATTTATTTTAACAGTGAGTAGATCTGATCAAAAGAAATGTTTTTTTCCTTTACCATTTTCCTGGTAAAATTAAAGTAACAAAGTTATAGCCCTTTGGAGGTTTGAGTACCGCCCTGTCTCAATAACAATATTATGTGGTCGGGTTTGGCGACAACGGATATAATCCGCCGTATCGGTTCATCGCATCGGAAACAAAAAAGCGAAAGAATTTGGAACGATGTTTTTACAAGTATCTCATTCATTTGTATACAATCAGTGTCAGTGAATGGTGGTATCTGTTGCGTGGCTCAAACGAAATAAAAAATGGCACATGTTTATGCGGATCGGTTTCCCAATCGAGTGCAACCAACCCCTCGTGCCTTTGTTAATGTAGTACAACGGGCTCGTGAATCAGGTGACTTAAGACCTCAGAGGGGACCTCACGATCAAATACAGGTCCGCACTGAAATACTTGTCGGGAGGATACTTTATAAAACAAGGTAAAAATTTTTTTTTATTTTTTTTTTTCATTTTTACACACATATTTTGGTTTATCTTCCTTCTACAATCATTATCTGAAAATTAATGACTCAACTTCAAAGTCACCCTGTATATATATATATAGTGGAGGACCTAACTATCGGAATCTGTATATATATATATATATATATATATTTGAACATTTCTGGAGTCCTACATCCATATGGTAGCATTTTTTATTTGCTGAATTGATATCGTAGATGGAAAAAACACCACCATTGTAGGTTTAAGTACAACAAGAAGGTATTCAGGAAATTATCTAGGGTTTTGTAATGATTTAAGTACAGCTTACCTCAACCTGTACCATAAAAAAGACGAAGTTGAAACTCATTCAGTTTGATATATGTCTTAATATAACCCTTACTAAATTTTTGATAAGTCCTTATCAGTAGGATTCTATTCATAGCACTTATTTATTTGTTGTTTACAGGTTATTCATGGATGAAGAGATGTATAACTTGCGTGGCCCATCACATGAAGAGTAAGGCTTTATTAAACATTTGTGCTTTTATACTGTTACATAGGAATTAATGTTCTTATTTGTAGGCAATATGTCCATACTTCCTCAACATTATCAGCATCAGAAGGTGATAGTCCTGCTAAAACTGCTGGAGTACAAGAACATATGCTTGATAAGAAAAAAAAGAAAGAGGTGAGAGAAGTTTAGAAATTTATTGATTAAATAATATTAAATTGACCTTGGGGTGAAAACGTAGCTATTATGTTATGAATTAAGCAATTTATTCTTAATTTATTTAAAATGTTTTAAAGCAGTTTTAGGGTGATTTTTCTTAAATCTGAACATTTCAGGAAAATTTGCTATGTGGTTGATATATCTAGTGAGGATTTTTCCACCCCAAAAAAGGCAAAAAGAAATTTCAGAATTCTTAAATCTGCCTTAGAATCCGAGAGGAAAAAAAGACGTGGCCTCCAGATGACCGCAACAACTTTAAGGAGAAGAATTAAAACATTAAGCAGCCTGTTGAAGCTGCTGAGAAGCAAACATTATACATCAGAATCGTCAGAAAATATGTTAAAGATAACTAAAATCTGTATGATCCACAAAGGACTTCAAGCACTCAGCGTAATTATTCATATTTCAGGAATCATTAGCAGGGTCTGCTGCTGAAATTTTTGAGCGAATGTTGAAGGGACCTGCAACTCAAAAATACAGTCCAGATATAAGATCATTCGCTTTAACTTTAGCTTTCTATTCACCAAGAGTTTATAATTTTGTGAGAAATACTTTCAATTGGTCACTTCCTCACATCAATACTATAAGCAAATGGTATCAGTCAATAGATGGTTCACCGGGATTCACAAAAGAGGCTTTGAATGCATTAATATTGAAAAAGGAAGAAGCAGCTGCCCAGGGAAAAGAAATTTTTTGCAATTTAGTTTAAGTTGAAATGTCAATTAGGAAACAAGTAGATTGGACAGGTACCAAGTTTTGTGGATATGTTGATATAGGCACACATGTCCACTCAGATATTCTCCCAGAGGCAAAAGAAGTACTAGTATTCATGCTAGTATGCATTAATGGGTATTGGAAAATACCAGTAGGATACTTTTCCTTGGATGGCCTTAGTGGTGCTGAAAAAGCCGACGTAGTTAAACACTGCCTTACATTTGTTAACCATTCATGAATAACTGTTACTTCACTGACATTTGACGGCGCCCCTGTTAATTTGACCATGGCATCACGTCTAGGAATCAATTTTAGTGATCCCAAACAGCTGAAAACCTACTTAAATCACCCTATAACTGGCAACAAAGTTTATATATTTTTATATCCTTTTCACATGATAAAATTTGTCAGAAATACTTTTGGTTCTCAGAAATATTTGACAGATATGTCTGGCAACCAGATTGACTGGAATTTCTTAGTAAAACTGGTTGATATACAAAGTTCTCAAGGATTACACTTATCTACAAAAATAAGGCCCAAGGGAGAAAATGAAGGTGAAAATTGCGACTCAAACGCTGAGTAAGAGTGTAGCAGATGCGTTGTTATACTTGGGGGAAGACTTAAAATTACCATCTTTCAAAGATATTAAACTTAACGTCTATTTTTGTACAGATGTTTAACGATCTATTGCAAAATATTTGTACAGGAGGCCTTTATCCCCCTCTACCGCCCACACTTTCTTCCAGTTTTTAGATCAAGTAATCATTTATATCTCAAATTTAAAGCTTGCTGACGTTGCAGTTTTAGATTCACCAAGAAAAACTGGATAATTGGGATTTTTGATCTGTATCCAAAGTCTTAGGGGGTTGTATAGCACCTATGTAGAGAAACTGGAATAAAACATAGATTTTATTTTGGTGAACTTATTTTTATTCAATATTTTTCTCATAGCTTTATTTTGCAAGACTTGTAATTTTGAGAATACAGCTTCATTGACAGTGAACAAGATAGTTGAACAGTATAGTATATGCGCTAGAATAATTGTATTATAAACTATTTTCTTGGAATAGGTACCAAGACTATGAGAAACTCTATAAAAGTAATTTGTTTTTTCTTTGTTGGCAATTTTTGAAATAATGTATTCATAGTGATCCTCAAACTTTAGTTTACTATCAATATACATATATACCTAAATATTTAATTGATTCAACATTTTCAATTATTTCTCCATGTATCCTGTGATAGTATTTTCATTTAGGTATTTCCCTATTAGCATATATTTTGTTTTAGAAGTATTCAATTTTAGTTTATTTACATTTAACCAATTTATGATTTTTGCCAAGTCAGAATTTAGCATTTTTAAAGCTGTGTCTATATTTTCATCCGATATGTATATTAATGTATCATCTGCAAATATCTGAAGTTCACAATAATCTAAAAATATTACAAATGTCATTAATGTATAAAATAAATAGTAGTAGACCTAGTTTACTAGTGGTATAGCAACAGAAATAGTTTTTGATCTTGATAATGTAGATCCAATTTTCGTTCTTTGACTTCTGTCAATTAAATAGTTTTGTAGAATTTATCCCTGTCTATAGTCTCAAACGCCTTTTTGAAGTCCCAAAAACACTGTTACTGTATGTTTCCGATTGTCCATACATCTCCTCCAGTCCTCTAAAACCATTTGTTTTGCCGTTTCAGTTGAGTGTTTCTTTCTGAATCCAGCTTGAAATTTGGTTAAAATGTTACTTCCCTCAATAAATACGATGATCTGTTCATAAATAATTTCTTCAAAAACTTTTTCAACATCTGGCAGAACATTTATTGGCCGCATATTGGTGTTTTGTAAGTTAATTTTGCCTGCTGTAATACGTAATACTGCAACATACAGGATGATTAGTTTACAGTTTAATAGGTGGTAAGAGGATTAATAACGTTTGTTTTAGTTTTTAGATAGCCTAGGTTTGTCTTATATTCAAAACATTGTTCTTATATGACTGCTACTATTTTGGTTATAATTATTATATATCTATATAATATGTGTACCCAATATGTTTTCATAGTAAGACAAAAATTATATTAAAACTGAGAAACTGCTCGATATATACATTTCAGCTGATACTTAGTCTATTTTTATGAATGAAGATATGAAAATGAGCTATGTGATTATATTAAAACTTATTTGGGGTCTAGACAATCATTCCATGTTCCCTGATTTGTTACATTTTGCAATATATAGTTTATATTTTAAAGGATTTTGTATCCTGCCCACTCAACAGAGTTCACGAAGGTATTCCAATTGAACTAGATATTGCACAAATATGAGTAATATATTTATTACTACACAATGTTACTTCGTACCGTTTTTTTTGTGATACCTCCCGATTTAAATGTTCTTATTTTGTCATCCTTATACATATTGTATGCTACGCCTATGTGTAATTGTACCAATGATTATACATAAATCAAATCCAAGCGAATAACCAAAATTTCTGTGTTATGTACTGCGGTTATGATATGGTTCAAGATGACACACGGATTGATGACGTCAGTTGCTCGAATCGCTTGAACGCGTTGGTTTTAACCGCGGTTTTGTTGCAAGTTGTTTATTTTAGAAAAGCCCGTATATAATTTCTAATTATTTTTATTATCACTTAATAATCGGTGCTTTTTCGTGTACAACGGTGTATGGAAAGTTTAAAGAGAAACCTTTCATATAATTCATGGGAGAAATGTTTTGCTTTTCAGAATTTTCATGAAACCATGGCTTTGTAGCTATGACAACTTTCAATTCTCTAAAGTTTTCCGCATGTCAAAGAAAAAATTTATTGAAACAGCAGAAATGATGAAAAAACGATGAAAAAAGATATTAGCAAAACCGTATACAGGTGGATATCATCTAGTGAGTTTATATGGCCATATTTTAGTATTCTTGTGGTATATGGCTACACAGGATACTTTGTTAAGCATAGGAACTACATTTAAAGTGTCCCTAACAACAGTAATGAGTATAACTAATAAAGTGCTCCACTTTATGGTAAAAATGAAGTCAACCTGTATCAAGTTTCCCAAAAATGAAGCTGAAGTACAATAACAATATCCGATACCCGGCAAAATTCTAACTTGTCACATTTCAAATAATAACCAGAAATATAAAACTACTCCTGAGTTGGGTAAATACCACAATTTTGCGGTGATAACTATGACATATAACAGCTGATTCATGACGTCACGGATCTTATAACCAAACTGATATCCACACTCGCTTGAACGGATCGGTAAATACCAACCCAAAATGGTAAATACCATTTTCATTTGGTTATCCGCTTGAATTTGATTATAGAGTCTTCAGTGACGTTAGGTTTCACAGCCTGAATTCTCATGCGGCGGCCATTTTATTGTTCCCCTCTCATCCTTCATAGCCCCTCGCCAACACTTTGTGCTTTGTTTATGTCGTCAACAAATCGAATGCAGTTTTATGAATGACTTGCTGGGTCTATCCTCGTTTTAAAGTCGATGGGTGTATCACTGCTAATTTAAGTATGTATATTGTAATACAGTGTGTTCCTTAATGATATGCGAATATTTAAGGGCGTGAATCTACATAAAAAATCAATGCCAGTTTGCTTTATAAACTATGGTCCAAAAATGTTTCCTTACAAAAACTTGGGGTGTTGAAGTTTTAGGAAAAAAAATGGAAATTAATATTTTCAGAACCGCTTCAGATATTTCACTGATATTTAGTACGTAGTGAAAGTTAAAAAAGTTGTATATTTTTAAATGCAAAAATAATTTTTAGGTTTATCAGTGGCGTGCGTACGGGTATTGACTTCGATATTTTTTAAGAAACAAATGGTACGCCAATGGTTTTTTGCCAAATAAAAATTATTTTTGAATTCCCCGTTCAGTTTAAAAAAAATGATCTCTCTTGAATTGGATGTTCCGTTAGTAATAAGAAACAATATTATGTGGTACATGCACGATGGTGCACCAACGCATTCCAGTGTAGCGGTTCGTAATTATTTACAAACTGCTTATCCATATCGTTGGATTGGCCGCGGTAGGTCCCAAGAATGGCCACCAAGGTCCCCAGACCTCAACAGTTTAGATTTATGTCTTAAGACACTAGTGTTCACAAGTCCCATTAGCACTGTAGAGGAATTAAGAGAAAGAATAGTTGCAGCCTGTGATAGAATAAAAAATACTCCAGGGATATTTTAACGAGTGCGCAATTCCATGAGAAGGAGGGCGGAAGCATGGATACTAAGTGAAGGGGGCCATTTTCAACAATTTTTGTAATCATTTCGTTGGTTTTAATGTCATGTTTATGCTGTCAGTTGTTGTTGTTCATTACCCCTAATGTGTTTAATTTTCCCAACTGAATTAATAATAATTTTGCAAGTTAGATAATCGAACGGTTTCTATTTTTTTACTCAAAAATGACGCATCGAAGGAAAACAATTCGAGAGAGATCATTTGTTTTTAATTGAACGAGGAATTCAAAAAATGGCAAAAAAGCATTGGCGTACCATTTTTTTCTTAAAAAATATCAAATCCAATACCTGTACGCACGCCACTGTTAAAGCTAAAAATTATTTGTGCATTGAAAAATATGCAACTTTATCAACTTTCAATACGTACTAAATATCAGTGAAATATCTGAAGCGGTCCTGAAAATATTAATTAATTTCCACTTTTTTCCTAAAACTTCAACACCCCGAGTTTTTGTAAGGAAACATATTTGGGCCATAGTTTATAGAACAAACTAACATTAATTTTTCATGTGAATTCACACCCTTAAATATTCGCATATCATTAAGGAACACCCTGTATAATTATAGACTACTTACCAATAAAATCATTACTCCCCATATAAGATGAGTCATTCCTACTTCTATAATTAAAGCTATCTGAAGATACACTGAGGGTAGGGTTGTCGTAGGAGAGGCGGCCTCCTCCACCTCCACCGCTTTCTCCTTGGACATCTCTCGCCATCTTCTGATCATTGCTGGAACAAAAATTATACTGAAGTAACAGTTGTGCTTTAGAAGAAAATTTATGAAATTCTGCACAATTTAAGTCGTCTAAATAAGTTTTCGTGAATGACATTTATTTGCAATCACTCAAGGTTCATTGAAATCGAATCGCCAGTTGCTAGATGAGGAGATATAACAAGGACGCCTAGGTTGTTGAATAAAAAGGTAGTAAAGGTCCAGGTAACATAAAGCATGGCGTTGCTTTAGCTTGTACGACGTGTTCGGCTATAAATTGTATATAAAAGTTATAGCGACGAATATGAAGTTTTCCATGTGATTTTTTTGTAAAAGCGTTGTCAAATGAAGTTGTAATTTTCAAAATGGAATACCATAGTACATGCATTTTGAAGACTCTTTCGTACCTCAAGACTATAGCGGTAAGCATAGCATTGGTTTGATGCATGTGACGAACTAATATAACCGATTGTCTTGGATGTATTTCTACAAGCATTTTATAAAAAAATACTTCGATAATCTAAAATAATATCCTAGGGTTAATACAAAAATGACTTTCGAGCAAAGGAATATATTTTATACACCTTGACATCAATACATGGAGGTATTGTCGCAACTTTGTCAACTTTTATGTAACTACAGGGTGCGGCAGAGAGGACGGACGTTTTTGGGATGGGTAGTACTCTCCGCCTACGTCTACGAGAGAGGTGGAGAGGGTGCCGTTTGACTCGTGAGATCCTAGCATTATTTTACCAGTTGTCGCTATGGAGCCTTGGACGGTGGCGCACCGCGTTTTCGCCTATGATTGTTTCGTCCGAAATAATGAGTCAGTCATCGTCGTACAGCGTGAGTTTCGTCGCCACTTCAATATTGATCAGAATAGAGCTGTTCCCTCTCGAAACAACATCCTTCGTTGGGTTGAATCACTTCGCAGGCGTGGTGTACTGATCAACAGAAGACCAAGAGGAGCGCCGCGAACAGTTCGAACTCCTGAAAATGTTGAACGCGTTCGACGGGTCTTCTTCGCAGTCCGACTCCATCTGCCCGGAAACATGCTGCTGCACTTCGCCTTATTGATCGTTCGGTAAGGCGAATTTTGCATATGGATCTTCGCTTTCACCCCTACAAATTGGCCATTGTGCAACAGTTACAGCTCGGAGATTATGCACAACGAATGAACTTCGCACGTGAGATGGAAGCACTGATCGATCAAAATGAGAACCTCATTTTGTTTATGAGTGACGAAGCCCACTTTCACCTAAACAGCATGGTTAACCAGCAGAATTGTCGTTATTGGGCTAATGAAAATCCGCAACAGTTACACGAAAGACCGCTGCACAGCCCAAAAGTAACGGTTTGGTGCGCTGTTATTCGCCATCTCTTCCCTGGTCGCCTTATTTCCAGGTTTGGCGATGTTCATTGGTCTCCTCCGTCCCCAGATTTATCCATATGCAATTTTTTCTTATGGGGACACCTCAAGGCTAAAGTATACGCGAACAAGCCCCGAACTCTGGACGAATTGAAGGGCGAAATTCGCGTGGAAGTCGCCCAAGTTGAGAGAGCGATGTTGGAGAGAGTCTACGCGAACTTCCAAGAACGCCTCCAGCACTGCGTCAACGATTTCGGCCACCACATGCCTGATGTGATTTTCCACACTTGACTGTCTCAAATGCTATTTCCTTGTGAACCTGATTCCATCAATAAATTTGTTTTCGAGTAAAAATTAACTATTTTATGATTTTTTTAAAACCGTCCATCCTCTCTGACGCACCCTGTAATACTGAAATAAAACTTATTTAAACTATACGTGATTTAATGAGTATGTGTTATATCGACCAAGTACAACGATTTGAAAGTATTGAATGAATATTGCTGATCGTTTTAAGATTAGAATGATAGTGTTTCAAGCAGTCAGTGTTAAAACGCACGGCCGTTTATAATCGACTCAAATATGGTGAATGCGCCTACATATACCAACCTCTATTAATTTTGCAAAAGCTCATAACCAACGTATTTATTAAATAGCCTTATCGTGATGACTGCTCATCTAGCGGCCACAAACTGAAGTAACCTGAAAAGATTCAGCCTTTGCAAGAAGTTTAAGGAAATCCTCTTTCAAATGAACCCGAAATCAAGAAAATATGCGGCCAGACAAAAGATGTTACTTCTTCTTAAATGCATTCAACCCAAAAATATGAAAATATGAGTATCCAGTGACCCCATACAAGCTTTGTGCTTCCGGCCTCAGAGATCCTAGACACTTCACTAGCCAGTGATGTGAATCTTACATCAGTGCCAACCTTTATAAAAAAACACTTTTCATTTGAACTTGAATCTAAAAACATAATGTCAATACGGATGGAACGGGTACAACGCGAACTGATACGAGGGATGTCTTTTAAGTTTTGCATATGGAAATAAAACAACACGGTAGGTAGTTTTAAATGACTTTATTGTTTTCCGAAGTATTCTCCACGAAGATTAATACACATCTGCATGCGCTCGAACCAATTTTCGAAGCACTTATTCCACTCGTTTGCTGGCAGATCCAAAACGGCGTTTTTGAATGCGTCAACTGCTTCTTCTGGTGACTGGAACCTTTGACCACGCAGTCTTTTTTTAATTTTCGGGAAAGTAAAGAAATCGTTAGGATTTAGATCGGGACTATATGAAGGATGGTCCAATAATTCCACGTTTTCTTCCGTTAAATACTGCCTTGTTTTTTTGGCTGTGTGCGAGCTTGCATTGTCTTGGTGGAGGATGATTCTTCTCTCGGGGTTGCTTTTTCGAAGCTCGGTGATGACTTTTGGCAAACAAATGGTGGTATACCAATCCGCAGTAACAGTTCTTTGCTCATTAAGAGGAATTGTTGCAATATGACCCGCTTTTGACACAAATGTCGCGACCATCTTTTTCGAAACACTTCGAGAACGGATGACTTTTGTTGGCTTTTCTTCACCTTGGAACACCCAAACAGCCAACTGTCGTTTATTTTCTGGTTCATAACAGTAAATCCACGATTCATCACCACTAACAATGCTGTACACATTTTTTGAGTTTCCGGAATTGAAACGGTCTAGCGTTTTTTGACACCAATTAACCCTGGCTGCTTTCTGCTCTTCAATCAACGAGAAACTAATTTTCTTACTCCTAATTCTTCATGTCAAATTTTTTGAATTGAGGTCTTCGAGATCTTCAAGGACGCTTCAATCACGCGATATGTCACATGTCTATCTTCAATGATGTGGCGCTTCGTTGCTGAAAACAGACAGTTACTCAGCATTTCTCGTAATTAATGCAAGTTTGAATGAGAGGAAAGCGTTAGTTGGGGCAGAAAACCGTCCACAGGCCTTTTCACGGCTTTTGACCGGTCACAGCAAACAGGTTGAAAATCGGAGGTTGTAGGGGGTTTGGAAAGGTATATCTCATTTTGTTGGTGGGAGTATATTTATACGCTCAAGCTCCAGTAATTTTACGCACCTGTCAGTACATATCTCACATATTAGATTACCTCGCACGTTATAACCTTATAGAGAAATATTTATACACGACACACGCGATTGATCGGGACGAAACGATGCAACAGCGACTTTCATACACCGAACCCTGTCTTGCGTTTGACAGCATCTCCGGACGTCTTTGACTGGTGTGATCCAGCAGCTGTCAGATGATCGATATTTAAGATAGGGAAGAAACTAGCATTAGTTTATCAAATGGTGGAGGACTATGGACTAATTGTATATGGGCCTGTTTGGCTGACTTGACTCATTTATTTTTTTCTTTTTAGTGACTATTGCAAACAGTTTTGCTTTCTGTTATATTTGTCTGAAACTTGAGGTTTTAACTTCTGCCATCCAAAAAGATATTTTGAATTAGTAATAATCTTGTCATTTATTTTAATATTTTTTTCCAAACTTTGGATATTAGTTACGTAAGTAATAGAAAAATCTGAAAATTGTGGTCTCGGTGACAATGGAAATAGAACAAGCAAAAACCAGAGTTCCTGGAATCATGTGAATCTTCGAGTCCTTCTGTTGAATGCTTCAGGAATTCAAAGCTTACATGAACATGTTGATAACTCTATTGGTTCTTCCAATGGATTATTCAATTTGGCTTGGTAACATGTACAGTGACATGCCAAACACTGAGAAACTGATTGAAAGACGGATCTGCATTTTATAAAAGAGCAGGACATTTGAGAGAATTAAAAAGTAGAGCCAATTCCCATTTCAGAACTACCTACTGAGAGAAGCCCACTAAAAAAAAGTAGCTCGAGAAATAGTACCTATAGTTGAGGATCGTTTCATGGGAAATATTTTTAAAAATATCTTGAGAACCTGTATAACTAACCAAAAGAAGAGATTATGAGCAAAACATTTATATCATATCTGCATTCAAATGTTGGAATCAGGTTCAGAAGAAAAAATAAAGTATATTAACCAAAATGTCAACAATCTCATCAATGTCAATTTTCTGGGTTACGGTTACCTGAACCGCATCATTCACTTTTCCATTTTAATTTGTTCATTTGTCGCTTTTTTAATGATTATTTATCTGAGTAATTAAGCAATTATCCAGTTACAAATAAGTAACGTGTATTCCGACTTACCGGTTTATGTTACAGTAATCGGCGTATAAGAAAAAAAATATTACAGCAGCACCATAAAAAGTGCATTTAATCATGTCTCGTAATTAGATTGAATTAAAAAAAAAATGTTTAGTTTCAGTTTCTATTCAGCGCGTTGAAAAAAAATTAGTAGGTGATAGGACACAGTCATAAAATTTGGAAATAAAGGTTGATGTCACAGCTACTGTAATTTCTGAAACTTATCACCTTATTGTCCAAGCCCAAACACATTTTTGAATTTTTTTTATCTTTCTAAATGGTTGACAGGGTAGCCAGGAAGCGCTAATACCTCAAGCAGTTGATGTTTTATAGCAAAGACGAAGTAAATTTATTAATATCACACTACCTGTAAATAAAACAAATAACAAATACGTCCGACCTCCGTTTTTGGAAGTTTCCCAGACCTTTGATCGTTTCATCAGAGCAAATGTGATGGAATAAAAAGAGTACTGGGGCTCTCAGTTTATGGGATAGTAAGTTAGTGACTTGTTAAAACAGTCAGTGTTTATGTGTATTATGAAAATTTTCTCTCATAAGGTTATGACATAAATCATTTCTTAAAAATGCCCTTAAGATCATAGGCTCATTCACAATTTTATTGTTTGACGGATATCGAACAATGAGATGCTTTTTCGTCTGACAACTGTAACGACAGAAGTATCTATGAAGACCAAAATGTAGCCTTAATAATCAACCAGTTAATTTTCTCCAATTAAGGAAATACGAAATAGTTAAAGATCAATGGGTGACGTGATCAAGTTCCATCAGATGCTGTAGCAATTGGCATTTTCGCCACATCATCCCTGATTAGTTTTAAACCTGACCAATATGTGGTTTAAGGTTGATGTTCTCTGGAGAAGCTCAAATTCCTATTGAAGCCACTTTAGATTAAGAATATAATAGCTGATAGGAATTTCCGCATGCTCTAACCTACTAAGAGTACGTACTAGGCGGTGTAAATATGTTAAAAATTTGAAGAAACTTCAGCGAAATTTAATTCTTCTTTTATGTTGGTAATACCGTGGAATCCACGTATAATGAACTTGCTTATAATGGAAACCCGTATATATTGGACACAATTTAAGGTCCTATAAATAATTGCATGTAAAATCCTCGGATATTATAGACTCTCTTAAAGTAGACCCTCGCTTATAGCCGACTATTTTAAGCCATTATATGCGAGCTATTCTGGTAGTTTCCCGAATCAGATGTAGTTTACGGCGGCTTGGATGCGCAGTTTGCATTCGAACTTGGCCACCAGTGTCATACTGTATTTATTAGAGTTATAAACACGTCGAAAAGGGCAAAACGTGCATTCACTTTACACGAAAAGTTCACAATAATTAGTGAGCTTGAGCAGGGTTCATCTCAAGCAAATAAATGTGCTCGTATGGCTATAAAAAAATCCACTGTGTCAAATTTTTGGAAAAACCGTGGCAAAATTAAAAATGACTGGAAATCAAATAGTCAAAAGAAAAAAATGCGGCTCTCGCTGCATCCCCAAGTCGATGATATGCTGTTTAAATGGTTTCAACAAAAGCGTGCTAATAATTTTCCAATAAGTGGACCTATGCTACAAATAAAGGCTGAAGAATTTGGGAAGTTTATTGGAGATCACCTCAAATGTAGTTCCGGTTGGTTAAAAAGGTTTAAGAAAAGACATAACATTGTTTTTTGAAAAATGTGTGGTGAGTCAGCTTCAGTTGACAAGAACGTTACCAATGACTGGATTTCTCAGGTTTGGCCCGCAATATCCAGTGATTATTCAGACGATAACATATTCAATGCACATGAAACCGTGATATTTTATAGAAGGGTACCAGATAAAACTCATAAATTGAAAGGTGAAACTTGCAATGGAGGGAAACTATCAAAAGAGCGAATAACTGTTATGATTTGTGCTAATGCTTCTGGTACTGAAAAACGGAAACTATTGATAATAGGCAAGAGAATTAGTAGAAATTCATGCTCTAATTTTTTGATATTCAATGGCAGTTCTGTAAAGAATGTATGACCTTTTTTTATTTCAGGGAAACTTAAGAATCCCAGGTGTTTCATAAATGTTAAAACAATTCCCGTCGATTATGTTGGAAATAATAAAGCTTGGATGAATTTTTTAAGAATATTTAAAAAAGTGGGACGCTGAACTTGTTAAGAAAAATCGTAAAATTTTGCTCTTGGTCGATAACTGCCCCGCTCATCCAAATATGTATTTCACATCAACCTTCAATTTTTTCCACCCCTGTGTGACATCAGTTCTGCAACCAATGGACCAGGGTATCATTTGGAGTTTTAAACAAATGTATCGGAAACATATGTTGATGAGAATTATGGAGCTTCAAGAAGATGTCAACATTATCAAAACTGTCACCAGATGCTATAAATTTGCTTACTATTGCATGGGAAGTGGTTACTCCAGAAACGATTCGTAATTGTTTTCGCCATGCTGGTTTAGTGAAAATCATAACTGGAATAGTCAACGACTTTAATCCCGAAGATGATTTACTGAAAATGAATAGTTTACTGAATATAGACAAATTTAATGAATATGTAAATGTTGACAGTAATTTGGTTAATGAAGGATCAGTTGATAACGAACGGGAAGACAAACTAGAAAACAACGATGAAAAATAGCTTCCAGTGACAACTAAGGAGGCATTAGACTGCGTGAAAAAGTTGCAACGGTATTTGCATCAAGAAGAAGACAGTACAGCCACACTTAACAAATAAAATAAAATTCAACTTGCTGTTATAAATAATTATATAAAAAAACAATCCGTTCAAATGAAAATTACTAGCTTTTTTACCAAATAATTTACGGTTTTTACATAAATATACACAGTACGTATGCCTGTAATGTGTGTATCAGATTCTGAAAAAATGATTCGAGAAGGTTGATATTCTTTAAAGCGTATTCCAGATTTTATTGTCTTGCAAAAATTATTATTGCGATATTAAAGATTAACAAAAGGTTCGAGTAAACGCCTTTGAATTGTTATTTTTGATCCACAATGTCTCGATATTAGGATTGTAGCGGATGGTATAACATGGCCGGATAACGGATACCGGATATCCGGTTGTCTACTTGGCCGTATAGCCAGATACGCGGGTATTATGTAAAAAACCTATAAATCGTCAAAATAAGAAACCTATAAAATGTCATCTTGCAGACTAGGTAGTTTTTAGGGTGCAAATATCCAATCCACGTTTGCTCACTAGGATCCTTATGAGTGCCCATCTGTGGAGGAATAGCTCAACTACACGCATTGTTGGTTGCATATTATTATTATTATTATTATTATTATTATTATGTCTTTATTGAGCATTGTTATATACAATGCAGAAATCTGCAACAGGGCGAAGTCTAGCCTAAGCTACTCTACTTAACCCTAAATAAAAGCTAACAAGGAAGAAAGCCACAGATAATACATAAAATGCAATCATCAGAAGTGATCAAATATAAAATAGCATAGAAAATATGAGATAATTTGAATGAAAATAAACAAAAGCCTAAGACACAAAACCGCAAAGCGAAGAGTATATAATCAAAAACTATTGAACTATCCATTACATTGACTATTGTAATAAAATTGCCTTACCAGGACTTTAAACATCGGTACAGAACTAAACTTAAGCGCGTCATCGATACTATTGTATATAGTAACAGCATTATATGAAAAAGATTTTCTAAATAAGGATAAACGAAACTTAGGAAGAGAAAGTTTATAAGTGAACCTCGTATTTAAATCATGCAAATCACGCCTAAAGACTAATTTTCTTTTCAGGTAAGCAGGGCTCTGTGATGATAAAATACGGTGAACTAAAATAGAAGTATAATATTTATGAGTATATTCCAGTTTCAACCATTTTAACTCATTTATTTTAGCTGAGATTCGATCAAACTTTTTGAGCCTAAAAACAAATCTACAACAGCAATTTTGTACCTTTTGAAGTCTGTATTTCAAAATAGACGTTAAGAAGGGATAATAAAGCGTGATTGCATGATTTAAAATAGGTAATACTAGGCTCTCTGAGAGCTTTTTACGTAATTTAAAATTTAAAATACCACCATTTCGATACAGTAGCCTTAAAACTAGGTAAGTCTTTTTCACTAATAGTGAGACGTACTCTTCAAATCTGAGCTTACAGTCGAAAATAACACCAAGATTTTTTGCACTTTTAACTACTGAGACTGATTTTCCATTTAATGTTAAGTCGATATGCTGCATAAAAATTTCATAACATGGCGGAGAGAAGATAACAACTTGACATTTATCTGGATTGAGGTTTAAGTTGTGATTAAATGAATATTTTTGAATATTTTCTAAATCTTGATTAATATAAGCAGATGCGGTATTTATAAATCTAGGATCGAACGACAGGTATAATTGTGTGTCATCAGCATAACCTTGTATCCTGCAATAAGTGATAGTTTTAAAAATATCAGACGTATATATAATAAATAGCAAAGGTCCTAATATGGAGCCTTGAGGGACTCCAGAAGTCACAGGCTGGAAGTCAGAATACGAGCTATTATCAACCACAACACACTGGTAACGGCCCTGAAGATAAGATTTGAAAAGTCGGCAGCCCAATTGATTTATACCATAATATCGTAACTTTGCAAGAAGTAAGCAGTGATCAATCGTATCAAACGCCTTCGAAAAATCAAGAAATACAAGAGCTGTAGCAAGGCCAGCGTCGAGAGATCTAATAATATCATCTGATACATTTAAAAGGAGCGAAGTCGTGCTATAGCCCCTTCTGAATCCAGACTGTGATTCAGGTATAATTTGGTTAGAAATCACAAATTCATATAACTGTAAATAGATCACCTTCTCCAGTACTTTAGACAGAGCAGGCAGTATACTAATTGGTCTTAAGTCATTATATACAGACGGTATGCTTATTTTGGGCAAAGGTTTTATAAGAGCATATTTCCATAAACTAGGATAATAACCAACCTCTATGCAGCAATTTATAATATGAGTTATGTGTGGGGCAGTTACAGAAATAGAGTATTGTAGCATTTTTGCACTAATTTCGTCCACACCATATGCGCTAGACGTTAGATCAAGAACCAGTTTTTTTAGTTCATCCACATTAGCAAAATTAATAGAAAAAGAAATATTAGAAAATTTGGCTGAATTATCAAATGCAGTAGCTTCAGGACAGCTATTTGATGGACTAAAGACTGAAAGAAAATGACTATTAATTTCAAAAGGTTCTTTTAGCTGTAGAGGTATATCTGTATTATGTTTTCTTTTGATATTGAGGCGATTGACTGCTTGCCAGAGATCCCTATAGTTACGACAGTTTAGTGTTGATGACAAAAATACAGCTTTTTCATGTCTCAAAGCAGAGCACACTTAATTGCGTAATTCTTTATATATAGCAAAGTCCGACAGTTTACCGGATTTTTTATACTTTTGCAAAGCTTGATCCCTTTTTTTCATCATAGCTTTGAGGTTAGGGGTAACCCACGGAGCAAAAGGTTTTGTTATGCGAGAGGTTCTAACGGGGGCATGTCTGTCAAAAAGATCAACTATTAGATTATTAAACAGCGCTACTTTATCATCGAGATTATTTATATAGAAAATATCATTCCAAGGTAAATTTACTAAGTCTGAATTGAAAGCATCATACGAAAAATTTCTGTAATCTCTGTATTTTAATATGAACGGCTTAGGACGCGATGTTCGGTGTGAGAGCTCACAGTAGATTGCTTTGTGATCAGATATGCCAAAACTATCAATAACACCCGAGTTTACAACTCTTTCATTTGCACTGGTAAAAATTAAGTCAATTATCGTTTGTGATAAGGCAGTTATTCTAGTTGGCTCTGTAATGAGTTGATGGAAATCATATGAAATAAAGCAATGATTGACTTCGTTATCATACGATTGATCGACGTTGAAATCTCCAAGAACTATAATGTGATCAAACTGGGGAGTAATAAAGGAAAGGACATTGTCCAGATAATCCAAAAAATCATTATTGCTTACTGATGGGGGCCTATAAATTACACCAATTATCAATACCTCACCATGCGTTTTTATAGACAACCAGATGTGCTCAATTCCCAGAAAACCATCAAAATCTTGAAGTATTTGCTTGCAAGCCATAGAGTTTTTAAAATAGATCCCAACTCCTCCACCCCTGGTAGAGCGATCATTTCTAAGTAAAGAGAATCCTGGAATACCAACTGCTCCACTAGAGATATCACTGTTCAACCAAGTTTCAGAAACGCACATAACATCAAAGTCAAAATCCAATACTAGATGAACAAAACAATCAAAATGAGTGAAAATAGATCTGCAATTCAAGTGGCCAATTTTTATGTTTTTATTGTTCATATTGAATTCTATCCTTAAGTTGTCCTAATTTGTTAAGGTAGCACAAACATTGAGTGCTATTAGCTGAATGGTCAGTAGGAAAATTTGTTTTAAACTTATTGTTGGAAGTCTTACAGTTAATACAACAGAGATCAGAAGAAATGCAGTCGCGCTTTTCATGATTTCCTGAACATTGAGGACAAATCGTAGCTGAACTCTTGCAATCTTTTTTATAATGCCCATAGTTATAGCACTTGAAACATTTTGCAACATTAAAATGCTCCTTTACATTACATCTTTTCCAACCTATATATAAAAATCCTTTGCCCATAACATTTTTAAAAATAGAAGGAGTAACTTCAAGGACAACATTGATACCGTCCTTAAATTTAAAATTAGTAACCACACGAATATCAGCTTCCGTAGCATCTAATTCATTATCTGCGATGATAATTTCAGAAAGGCGGGCATCCTCGGCAGCTGATTTATCAACACTGTAGACTACAATCTTCGGACGAAGTTTTTTCGGCTCATAAACATTAAATGCATTTCCAGCTTGCCTCTTGAGACCATCTTTCAAATTTTGAAGCGACTTGACATCAGCACAGTTGACTAGCACGCCATCCCTAATGAGTCTAGTACCAGTAACATTCGCATTTAGTTGACTCGGCCTGAATTTAGACTTCAGCTCCTGCTCCAATTTTGCGTTCCCCATGTTTATGTCAGTGGGTTTAATAACCAGCACAGCTGATGGCGAGACTTTTTTTGCTGCTTGCGAGTATGTGTTTACCAACGACGAGTTCGGAAAAAAACCAACAGCCGAATTCAGTGTAGAGGAAACAGCAGGCGTTTTAGATTTCAAAATAGTATTAGAAAATTCTAGTTCACTCACATACTTTTCTAGCAATTGCTTTTCTCGTGTAAGGCAATCAATTTCTTTATGCAAGAGCAGCACATCGGTACTGCTACTAGACACCTTGCCGTCTCCCAAACAATATTTACAACGGAATTCTTCCTTTTTCATTGGCACAATCTTGGCAATTGAATCGAAACATTTTCCATGTAGAAGAGTATCACATGCACTATTAGTACACTTAACTTCACTTAGCGAACAAAATTTAGCACAGAATTTGCATTTATTGTCAGGAGGTCTTGCCGGATCGACCGGCTGGCTCGACATCTTGTCTAGATGTCATATGATTTGTGACGCCGAGTAGTCTATAGTTTTCATCTCTGAGAAGAAAGCTGGTTGGATAGCAAGATCGCATCTGGATGATTGTGTGTATTGGTCTGCTTGTGTATAAAATCAGTGATACTTGGTGTGTGAGAAAATCATTACTGAATATGCTGCCAATGAAATATATCTATTAGCTGTGCCCGACGGGTGATTTATATGTTGTCCTTTCTGAAAGTTATAAATTACGATTATTTACTTTTTTTTGTGTTTTCAAAACCTTTGAGGAGAATTACGGGAAATCACCACCGCGCTCGCGTTGTGTGTAATTACTGCTAGCATGTATATATGGCTTCTAATTTGACAGTGTACAGTGAATATAATTGCATATTAACTATTTTTCTGAAATTCAGAAAATTTATATATGTAATTTCCAGAATGGCTGAGAAATAGTGGATGCGCAACTAATTTCTAGCTTTGAATCTCAAGTAAGTGTATTTAAGACAAGTATCCAATGGAATTATCATCAAAACATGTTATTAGCAATCAAATCCTCACTGTACACCTAATATAACGCTAGTGCTAAGTTAACATCTTGTAGAAAAACCTACATAATGTAATAAAAATCGACATAAAGTCACTTTTCAAGACACGTAATTTCCGTGCCGCTGGGGTATTATGTAAAAAAACCTGAAAAACGTCAAGAAAAAACGACGAAATGTCATCTTGTAGACTAGGTAGTTTTTAGTGTGCAAATAGTTCATTCCACGTTTGCTTGCCATGATCGCTGTTCGCTGACGTTTAAGCAACACGTACAGCTGCAAAACGAGTTCACAACAAGTGTACAACAGCTTGTGCAAAATTGACATCTTGTAGAAAAACGGCACTTTTTAAGAGACAAAATACCCGTGCCAATCGAAAAGTCTCGTGGATTTTCCTTAAAGTGAAGATACTTCCAGCAGTGGAAATGATACGCCTCACCTAGCAGGAAACACAAAACTTTCCGGAACTGTTACAACGTGGTGGCTGAAGCAAATGCTATGTACCTCGATAATTTCTCTAAAAAATACTATTGCTAGAGAACATTTTTCTGAAAACACTATATGCATGGTGTGCGGTCAATTGTAAGCAATAAATTTTGGCCAAATTTGTTAAAGTGTAATGATTCAAAAAGCTTAAAAGCGATCACACACTTGATCAATTTAGTAACCATTTTTGTTTATTTACTATAGTTCGTCGCTGTTATTTTTGCGCAAGTATAAAGAAATGTCCTCAGTCGTAACCATTCTCTTAATTTTACGAAAAGTGCGTTGGCGGTGCCATTTTTTCTTGTTTCATTTTCTTGTCGCTGAACTGATGTCCAGAGTGAGATATTCGTATTCTTGAATCTGAAGTCGTTCCAAGAGCTCCATTACTTCAGGAAACAATAAAAAATATCTGCCCTTTTTATCTAATCCGGCTTATGTAATTATGTACTACTGGATTTTACGAGTACTGTGGAATGCAAATAAGCACACATCAATGACGTAATCATTTTTGTATCAAAGAGCGTCACAAATTTCTAACATCACATTATGGAAACGGATCTGATTAAGAGTAGATTGGCATTTAATGAGGATGAGCACACGTGCTTGTTATTGTGTATACGTGCAAAACACCAAATTTCCACAGTGATCAGCTGCGCCAATTATCATTACGGTTAGCGTTCAATCCAGTAAATCGAATATGCCTAGTTTTTTCTCTTTTCTCAGAGCATTTTCGTTTGTGAATTAGTCATGCTTTGGTTTTGGAATTACTTACCAATTCCGAATTCCAGGTGGTATAAGCAAGTCGGGAAACACCACACTAACGAAAGCGGTTTTAGTAGGAAATGTATGATTTTCTGCTTTTTTATATGTACGTATAGCAAATTGGTTTACCACAAAGACTAACAATTTTTTTACGTAATTTTACTGCCTATGTTTGATTCATGTAACTAAGTTCATTAAGATTCAGTTAATTTTGTTTGTGCAATAATGGATGAATGGGTAATTGAAAGATGAACCGCGTTTTTTTATGTGCCCGTAATGTGGCTAGGAAAAATGAAATACAAATTAAATGGTATTGTATCAAATTTTATATATATATTCTAGACAGCGATTTCGTAAATATTGTCGTTAATGATTTCTATTTATAAGGCAAACATAGCTTTTCATTTTTGTGTAATGGAACATTTTCATGCCTTCTCTGTAGTTTATTAATATAGCGCAAATGCCACACAGTGTCAGGGATGTAAAAACGATTCAAAAAATTCCTCTTCATGATTTTATGAACAAAATTTTTCCCATGTTTTTGGTGTGTTGAGTCTAGTTTTCATAGCTTTGATGCGGTGAGTAAAGAGGAGTAATTGGAAAAATTGAGCTTCATTGTCATTTAAAAATGCTTCTTCTCAAGTACCGACCAAAAGCTACAATATTTGTGATAACACTGGGCTTACTAGACAGTCCTGTAAGAAAATTTGTGAATACTGCATGAGGAGGGAAAAGAAAGTCGCTCCGCTTTAACAACATGCTTGATCCTCCTTGGTAGCAACTCGATATACTGGGTGGGCCATCTATTACTTTTTTTTTTACCTATAAGTTTATGTGTTACCATGGGAGTCAAAAGTCATGTGGTATGCATAAATGAACTGTCAAAGGTATGCCATTTATAGTCATGGATTCGTTTACAACACAACACATTTTGGTTATCCAAACTTATTACGAAAACCGTCGAAATATAAAACATACTTTTCGCAAACTTCGCACTAGTCTTGGCCGACATGGACGCCCTACAGAGCCTGGAATTCGTTAGATTGTTAATCGTTTTGAGGAAATTGGTTCAGCTGAAGGTCATACCTGTAGACCATACCAACATGCTCGACCAACTCGTACTCGTGAAAACATAGCCGCAGTGAGTGAAAGTGTGCGAGAAGATCCAACCACCTCGACTAGGCACCGTTCACAACAATTGGGAATTAGTGAGACCACTTTACGCCGGATTTTACACATTGATTTACACCTCCATCTATACAAAATCTAACTAAAACAAGAATTGAAGCCGGCAGATCATCAATAGCGGCGTGTTTTTGTTAATTGAATGCTGGAAAGAGAAGACGGATTTTCGGCCAAAGTGCTCATTTTCACCTCAATGGGTACGTAAATAAACAAAATTGCAGATGCTGGGGGGCTGAAAATCCACAACAATATCATGAACAACCTCTTCATCCCGAAGAAGTGACTGTTTGGTGCGAATTATGGGCTGGTGGCATCGTTGAACCATTCTTCTTTGAAGATGCCGAAGAAAAGGCCGTTACCGTCAACGGGGAATGTTATCGCGACATGTTAACAGACTTTTTGTGGCCACAATTGGATAGTATTGGTGCCGACGATCTTTGGTTTCATCAAGACGGAGCAACGGCTCACACATCTCGCCAAACTATCGCCTTATTGCACTCGAAATTTCAAGACCGCATAATTTCACGAAATTTAGATGTCAGCTGGCCCCCGAGACCGTGCGATTTAACACCTATTGACTACTTTCTTTGGGGATTTTTGAAAGAAAAAGTGTATGCGAATGGTCCCCGGACAATTCAAGACCTAGATAAAGCGCAATATTCGAACTGAAATTGCGGCCATAGACCCGATTATTCTGGGAAAAGTCGTTGAAAATTTTGATGTTCGGATGTTGGCCTGTAAACGAAGCCGCGGTGGTCACATGACTGATCTTATTTTTCATACATAAATGGCATAAACCAAGCTTCATTTATCAATAAAAAAATTCGATTTCACCTCGTAAAAAGCGTGTTGATTTTTCACATAGATAAAAAAGTAATAGACGACGCAACCTGTACTTTACGAGATTTGTACCTAAATAAATTTTACTTGTTTCACATAGCGAAATCCTCTTGGATAAGCCGCTCCGTCAAGATCGAAAGTAACAAATTGTTAGGATATTGAAGGAAACCGACAGAGATAACGATAATACCTTACCCGAAATATCTGATATTTTTAGCCAATAAAGCCTCTTCAGAATAAATTGATACGAATAGGTCTAGACTGGAAATCATATTAGTATCATGAATAAAAATAAGATATACAGAGCAAGGCATATGGTACCGATAGCTGCTCGAGCAGGTTTGCAGTTTCTCATGTATATATGTTATACTCCGTGAGGTACACCGCGTACAGCATTAGTCAATATTGGGAATTAACTAATTGTAAATCTCGTGACTAGGTTTCGGGAATATTTTGCAATGCGATTGTTGAAGATCGGGGAAGATAATCCTGTATGCCAAAAATAAGTGGCATGCATTGTGGGCTATTACACAATATACTAAGCACTTATGTTGGCATGTAGATATAGGCAACTTAAATCTTCCACTGCTTGAAGATTTTCATGATATATCTAACTTTAAGATCTAAAAATGATTTTACATCCTGTTTCCAACCAACCACTAACACAACAGTCCCAAAGTGGTGCATTGGCTCTATACGACGATAGTACGTGCTGTTTCTTTTGTATGGCTCCTTGGTTTGGTGGCCTGGCATTGGAACCGAACCAAGATACTTGGTTTGATCATAGATGACAAGTTACGACACCAACAATACATTAAAACGATATCTCAGAGGTGTTATTTATTTATTTATTATGGTTTGATAGTTTTTTATCCATGCCTGGACTATTCGGCTCAAATGCGCCTGCAGAGATTGCAGAATAACTATTGCCGTTTTGTCTGTAACTTACGTAAATTTGACAACATATCTAATACGTATAGTTTCAGGCTTTTACAATGGCTTAATATCAATTCTCTGTTCAAATATTTTTACCTAACAACATTGAATCGTGTATTATATTCTAAGAATCCTGTATATTTAGTAGAAAAGCTGGTCCCTAGGTCAAGTACACATAATGTCAATATAAGACATCAAAACCATTTTACAATGCCTGTGTATGTAACATCACTCTTTTATAGATCTTTCACGT